ACAATATGCGTCGCGTGTCGCTATAAAAACATACACACACACACTTCAGCTGCCTGACTCGAATTCTGTCTTTGGGTTGTTGCAGTGAGAGCAGCGTTTATAAATTTATATGTTTTGTGGACATATTGTAAAAAATGGAATTATTCTCTTATTCTTGTGCTGGGAATAATTTTAAACCAATTATTCATCTAAATATTCAGAAACCCATTAAAAGGCACGCAGTTCATTATTTCTTGTGACAATTATCTGAGCGAGAAAAGGCAGCGAGAACGCACAAATATCAGCACCGATTTTTTCAACAAACTACAACTAAAAATATCAGCCTGAATCGAACATGTATGTCACAAAATAAAGTTTCCGCGAACAACTTCTCTAACTAAATAATTATGATGTAAAACACATCTTGAGGTACGAAAGAATCCGAAATTAAGACCTACATATATCGAGAAATTAAATCCAAAATAGAGGTTAGTTTCGGTTTCGCTCCAGAATTAAAACGTGCCTCCGGGCGTTAATATTACCCTAAACACCGTTTTTGTTTTCAGGATAAAGAGGTGACATGCGCTAATAACACCATAGTTTCCTCGTATTACCAGAAATAATCTGTGTCGCACAGTGAAGCCAGCACACTAGACAGGGGCACCATCTCCGACCCTCACTCAACACCAGCACACTCAACAGCGGCACGCATCTCCGACCCTCACTATAACCACCATTTTGGAAAATCAGTGGCGCCACCTATAGTTAGTTGGAGTCGCAGATAGTTCTTGCAAACATTACAACAAAAATTTAAAAAAAAATGCCAAGGATGGGGTTGCAGCTGCTGTTTGAACTGTTCCCGTTTAATCAGGGGAATCGGGCACCGACTTACGCTGCCCAGCAATGCCCTGGACAACTGTTTACCTCAGTGTTTGGGCCATCCCTGCCACCGCACGCCACAACTCCGGCTTCGTTGCGTGTTACTGCGCCACCCACATCATTCATTTTCCCCAGCTTAGCTGACTTTTTTATGATTTCCTTGACGATTCCCTGACTTCCCCATGTGCTTCGAAATTCCCCGACAATTCCAGGATTTCTGGGTCGCTTGACACCCTGTCCGACCAAGCATACCCTACTGCTGGGCGTCGGGCAAAAACGTTGCGTTGCGTCGGGCAAAAACGACTGTGATTGCACTAGAATCACCTACAAAGCTTACCAGAGCACAATGGTGCCATCTATCCGTAGCCCCGGAACACATCCGAACTCCGTATACTTTGCCCATTATTCAACCATGATAGCCTCAAATAATTCTAGCAAGAGACCATCTCTCATAGACAGTGCATAGACTTGATCTCGCAAATACCGCAGAACCTTCAGTCCAGTCATACGCAGATCAAAAGGGTTCCAGGACTACCCAACAGACGGCGCCACTGTCTTCTCACGTCGTAAGTCAATACAATTAAGTAATCGCTGCGTGGTCGACCACGTTCAAACGCATGTGTGTAAACCAGCCTCTAAGAGCAAGAAACAGAACTGTAGAGCACGGGTTTGCCTTATCACCAAATATCCATTCCCGGTAGCGTGAGACATGATTAACAGCCAGCGTTTTCATCGCTCGTCTGTGCATAAAGTTATTCCGTCACATCCCCAAAGATCGCCCACCAGATACTTTCCCCCCATCTCTCTCCTCACTGTGGGTGGGCATTCTTAAGGGGGCGTTACAGTGGGTTGCTCGTACCTACACACATAAAGGGCATCTAGCGAACGCTGCACGTTTGCGAATTCCCACCTTCGCAGGGCTGCAGCACGTGCGGTTGCCCCGTCGATACCAGTCGGGGTTCCTCGGACTTCGGGGACGAGCGTTGGTTGCTGTCCACACCTTGTAGGGGGTCTCCGCTGGGTGCTGCGAAAGAAACCACTGCTGCGGGAGGCTCGGCTGTCGGCTGCGCTCTCTCCTGCGGCATGGCCAAGTCTGCAGCAGTCGACCAAGAAAGCCGTGCACACGATTATGCCAACTAGCCGTGGCACTCTCTGCAGTCTGTCGCAGGTTAAGAATAGGGCAAGCCCCTCCTGCAAAGTCCTCCACTCTTTCTACCTCAGCAGAGGAAAAGCTGGAGAGAGGGTGAGTGGAGAGGAGAAAACCACCAACCATGAGAGAGCTCTGTGGGAGGGGGCTTCCCTTCAGCTTAGGTTGCAACCTACTAAAACATAGTTTGGTAAAGGTTATTTTAAGCTGTGCACAGCTTGGGTCTCAGGAGTTGAGACAGAGTTGTTTTTTGTTTTACTTTGACATTTGGAAGTGAGTGCACTGAACAGACATACTCCGTCAAAATGGCACAACTTCTGCAATTGGAGATTTTGCCAAACTTAAACATGCTGCAGGTGTAGTTACACGTGCTGGAGATGCTGATGCCTGCAGAACTAACTCTTATAATGCAAAAACCCAACAATAGCACTTGGCATATGCATTCATCAACACCTTATTTCAGACATTTACTCCATACCTTTTGTACTGATAAGGCAAGCATGTGCAGCACGTATAACTGCATGCCCAGCACTCTTTTCGGTGCTTTGGTAACTTGGTTAAAAGGTCTATTGTCATCCAAATTGTTTTATTTGTTACTGATGCAGATTTTTTTTTTGGTAATGTATTGCACTAGTTATATAATTTAGAAATAATGCAGTTTATGCTGGACAGATTCACCTCCAGGTGAATCTGTCCAGCCACATCTTTTGATTTTTTCTTTTTCTTTGCTGGTCGACGGGAAACACGCGCTGGCATATCCTTCAATAAACACGTCGCTCTACAGACTCACAGATCTACTGTCTGTCTACGGGGTAACACCCCCAAGAAGGAAAACAAAGTTTTGAGGGGTAGGACCATTAAACTTTTTTGAACATGGAAGTGTGATAGTGTCATAATTGACACCACTTGCCATATCAGTCTCGCAGGTAGCGCCGCTACCACATTCTAACATTGAGTGTTCATCGACGAAGATTAAAAGAGAGTAACGCTGGGCACGAGCGTGTATGTGCATGTGCCCCTGTAGAATGCTCCCGGGGAACACAGAGATATTACAGTGACAATGAGGATGATTGAGGTTGTTCCCATATTTACGTTGTTGGCAAGAGCCACGATTCCTTGCTCGTGGGTGCCGCCTGTGTCTCACAAACTGCCTGACCACGCCGTAGGCAATGACGGGCCAGCATGCGTGAGCAGCAACTTCAAGATCTTCCAAGGCAAGTTTTGACGCTGCCATATCACAAAGCGTCAGGTTGTTGGGACCGCAGAGTGTGCAGTACCAACAGTGAAGTCAAAACAAAAGAAAGCAGTCGACGGTACTTTCGAGTGTCAACTGGCCCGCTGCCTCTTGAACTAGAGCACTGCACGGGCCGGAATTTCTAGGCCCGACCCAGTAGAGACACGGCCCAGGCCCAAGTAAGCCCAGTAGAATCGACAAAATTTTTTAAATATGAGCCTCAGCCCTGCTCGAACCCGACAGATTATAAATATGAGCCCAAAAAAGTTTGCAGTCTTTAACCTAAAACTGTCTCCCCCACACCCACCCCCTTCGGGAGCTCCTCCGGACAGGAAGTACACTCGCCTCTAGGACCTACGTCTCATCTCATATGTGTGCCGAGACAGGTGCTAGCAAATATCAACAGGTGTCGTCCATGAGTCAGAACAATGGGAAAAAGGAACGCACAGCAAACACTTCGCAAGCATTACTGTACAAAACATTTTGAAAAACTCAATTTCAGGCGAAAAAGAATAGCAATAAAAAAGGCTCGGGGTACACCTAAACCCAAGCACACCGCATGAGTTGTGAATGCAAAAGCATGCAAGCCGCTTGTCCGCTACCTTGTTTCGTCTGCTGCATGCTTTTCGTCGCCGGTCAGCGCACGCGCTCCCATGAGCGCGCTGACCTTGCACGCTACTTGTTAACGGAGCGCTGACAGACACGCAGCGCCATGCGGTGAGCGGTCGTTGACGCGCAGCGGCCAATGGAAGCCTTGTCGACATGCGCCAGCCAATGGATTGAAGCCGAAAATCCAAGCTTTACTACGCACCTTTGGGATCGGGGAAACTAGGTGTCGTTGTCCAGGCTTTTCGCGTGGTTTCATAGCTGGAAGCTGGCTTCACTTGGAGACAGGATTTAAGGTGCCGTTTTCGCGCTTCAATCTGATGACATCGGCTCGCTCCATGGGACAGTTAATGCTTTCACATTGAAAGGAAACGGGCCTGCAGACGGCGGGAATGACGCCGCAAAAGACTTCCTCAGCAACGGCAATTGTTGCGGCACTCTCGCCCAACAAGATAGACAGAGAAAGGCGAAAAAGGAGCTCGGGTGCCTTACAATTGTTGTGTCAGAAGCAAAAAGAAAGCAGAAACAAGACGGAGGGACTGAGTAAAAAAAAAAAGCGGTCCACCCACTTGCACAAGTGACAGCAGCGAAATGCTTTTTTGATGAAAGCAGGGGCAAAGGTGGCTTGCAAGAAAAAAACGCTCCCAAGATAAATGAAAGCTGTTTACAATGCTCTGTAACGCCGGATCAGAGCGCAGCTCTCGAGGAAGACGGAAGGGTACTGAAGAATAGGTGACTCCCTGAGGTCACGTGACTTCAGGGGGGCAGGGGGGGGGGGGGGGGGGGGGGTAACCTCTGGTTGTTTATCAGTATTTCGAAATATTGTAACAATTTTTCTACAAGCGACACCTAAAGCCGCTCGTCAAATTTTGAAGCTCGCAATTAAGCATTTTTGGTGACACGACAGTTTTTTGCCTCAGAACTTTGTGTGAGGGCAGTTAACAGCATCCTACGCCTTAGTAAGTGTATCCGCGCGGTGTGAAGCCCACCACCAGCTATGGTGCAGTGCCCTGCCCCTCCCTAGTGTGACGTCGCGTGCAAGGCATATATAAGCTTCTGTGCTCTACGCATTTGAGGGGTCTCGCAAATCTTTGGAATGCTCACTTTCGGCATACGCCAGACAGCTCACAACACAAAGTGGTGGACGACAATACGTTAGTTTTGCCTCGCAAATTTAAATACATTTTGATTACCCTTGGCTTCACCTTGAGCTGCTCGCCTGGCCTTTTGCGCTTCACGTTTTTGTTCAGGTCGCTGATCAGAAGTTCGTTCAGCAGCACGTCTAGCCTGTTCAGCCAGGCGATGGCGCTTGTGCCGCCTGGCCTCTGCCTCCCTCGCACGATATTCCGAATCCTCAGCCCGCTTGCGGCGCATCGCCTCTGCACGCCTAGCCTTCGTCTTTGCCCTCTCGGCTTCAGTCTTAGGTGGCCGACCCCGCCGCCGAGCAGGAGCAGAGGTAGATGCGGCATCTGCACTCGTAGCAGACGACGACTCAGAAGAGCGCACCGCACTGGTAGACGGCACCGCATCCATCGCACATGTGTTCGTTTGTTCAGCAGCTCGCCTGGCCTGTTGAGCTTGGCGTCTCCGCTCGCGTCGCTGGTCTTCAGTCTCAGACGTTCGATTAGCAGCACGTCTAGCCTGTTCAGCCAGGCGGCGGCGCCTGCGCCGCTTGGCCTCTGCCTCCCTGGCACGATATTCGGAATCCTCAGCTCGTTTGTGGCGCATCGCCTCTGCACGTCTAGCCTTCGTCTTCGCCTTCTCGGCTTCAGTCTTACGTGGCCTACCCCGTCGCCGAGCAGGAGCAGACGTGGATGCGGCATCCGCACTGGTAGACGGCACCACATCCATCGCACCCGTGTTCTCCCCCGGGGGCCTAGCGGCGGCCCCGCGGCGGGGTACGCATTCTCCACAGACGAAAGCTCACGGCTCACGCCATGGCTGAAGCTCCTCTGGCTCCTCTAGCCCGGGAAAAGTGGCGCCGTGGTATGGCAGTATGGCCGTATGGCAGTATGGCCGTATGGCCGTGGCGCCATTCTTTGAACAAGCCGCGCGTCCACAGGCAGCGTCCACTATTGGCCAGTCAAGTGACTCAAGTGCTCAAGTCACGGCACGGGATTGTGCACGGGACCCACGGGACATTCTGCTTTGCTTTCGGTTTTGGCGGTTTTGGACTTCCGGCCGTCATTTACACGCGGAGTGCAGATATGGTGCCCGCGGTGCCCGGGCCGGAACGCGTCCCTGACTGGTGTTTTTACTGTTTTTACCGCGTCCAAAAAAAGCGGTTCCTCAATTTCCGTCTGATGACGTCATAAAAGTGCCATGTTATCGCCGGTTGCGATCCTGGTGGTGTCCCAGCTGAGGTGGTTTAAGCGGTAGACGCCTGTTCTGCTACAGGTCGCTTTTCAATGTAACAGCCCACAGAAGTTTCGGCAGTCAGAAGTTGGGACCCTTTGACGACAGCGACACTCACGTTTGCTTGTGTTTTTTGCCAGCATTTCTACCGCCAACCGCCAGGATCGCGACATGCGACAACACGCCCTTCGGCTTCTGTGACATCATTTGTTGCCACTTCGGGACCACTTTTAAAGCATGGGTGGGAACGCACCAGTCGGAGACGCGCTCCAGGCGCTCGCGGAGCGGGGAAGAGATCAGTGGTGAAGACGCCAGCAACGCCAGCCGCAGTTAAAGTCCAGGCACCATAGTTAAAGTAAACTGTAGTGCGCCGTTCGCGCACGCGCCACGCCAACGGGCCAACGGGTTTGTTCAGAGCTCTGGCTGTTTGCGTTTACAGCGCCACCACCGGACAAACGACTGCTTCCAACGCGCAGACACTCACCTTGCTCACCGTAGCCCAACCGTAGCCTACGGAGCATCGTATTCCCTTTCTCTCGGCATTTCCTCCTTACTCACCGTCTGCAAAAGAAAACGAAAAAGTAAAAAAAAAGCCCTGTCGCCCTGTTTTCCAACGTTCCCGCGAGGGGTAGCGAAACATGCTAGAGCGTCGCTTGCACAATGACCGCGCGTGTTTTAAACGAAATCTTCTTCAAAAACTTCGTGTACGTCTGTTCCTTGTCGAGACCCGGCGACAAGACAAGGCCGCGGTTCACCACTTTCGACGCACTACTCACCGTCTTGTCGATCGCGACGTTCTTCTCCGACATCGCCACCGGTAAAAAAGCCTCTCCTCACTCTGACATCTTTCAAAAAACACACACACGGGCGTGACTCATCTCTACTAACGTTTCTCTTTCTCCTCCGTCAGCGAGCTAATTCTCGCATGACCCAGCTGACTTTCAGACGTGATGTTAATCCCCACCTCTGCCCGTTTCGATCTGGATGACCATCGGACCGGCGTGCGGTCGTGTATCACTACCGCGTGATGCACGTTAAAGACGTCTCCAAAATACTCTGGCAGACTAATCCCACCCTGTCTAAACAAGCAATTTGTTTGTTTTTCAGACGTAATCGTGGTGACGCAGTACGCTCGCTCCGAGCTATGGGTCTACGCCGGTATGACGCTGTTCTTCGTGGTCATGCCGTCGATTGTGGTCAACTTGTTCAGTCTCCGGTGGCACATCCACGACAAGAGAGGCTCCAGGGTCGCCTGGGTCGTCAACGTCTTGCAGCTGGGCGTCTTGCACAGGTACGCCTGACCCTAGCTGGTGTACGCGGGGAATGTAGTAAACAGAAGAAAGTCCCGCTATCTTGAACACCCCTCCTTCACCCCAGCCCGTCGTTCGCGCATTGCGTGCGGCATTCCGTAATCTTTGGTTCCTGTCGCGAGCGCTCGAGGTTGAGATAAGCCGCTTCGGTCTTTGGCCCGCACGGAATGGCCCTGTCAATGTCTGCGTGGATTGGAATGAGCGCCGTCACCACGTAACCCGCCGTGATCCCTTCCTGGGAATAACAAATTAGTTGCATGTCAAAAACAATAACTCCCAACAGTTTCTCTTTTTTTTTTTTTTTAAGGGGGGATGTTTAGAAAATTTAATACAAAACGAGACAGACAAAAGTGTTTATCTGTATCTTGCACCTGAACGTCCGGTACACCCACACTGTTGCGTGGCGGACGAGAGATTGTCATGGAAAGTAAGCAAAGAATCTCGTCTAGTCAAAGCGAGGCTGCCTCGATGTCCTCCTGTTTTGAGTGATGACATTTTTTTTGTAGTACCCCATGCCAACACCACGCACTCACATTGGCAATACAAAGAAATAGCTAGAAACAAAATGCCACCGTAGCACAGTGAGTCGGGGGCTTGCAGTGACCCTGAAACAAGGATTGGCCTCTCCCCCCTTTACATTAAAAAAAAAGAATTATTTAAACAGTGTGGGAGAGGGGACAAAGATCTCCCTTGCCACGCCACTACTGTCACCCTGCTACCTCCCGAATAGTTCCGACGTCTCTGCGGTCGACGACAAGCATTTGTTCCGAAGACGCCCTTTCACGCGGTCTGAAACAACAAATAAAAAATGAGTGTTTGGAACGAAATGGGCACAGTGTTATCATCCTAAGCAAAGTGCACATGACGGCACCTTAGCCGAAGCACTTTTCAAAGTTACGAACCTGTGCATTCATTAGAAAGGTGCCCGAAGTATCCATTTTGTTGTTTAAATTTTTGAATGTATCATGCATTTTTACCTTGTTTGTTTGATTTCCCGTAATGCCACACCCCTCAGTATTTTGCAAGCGACATCTGTGGGGATGTCGCCTATGAATATTCATTGTCTAACTAAAACTAAACTTCACTTCGGTGCTTCTTCGAAAGCAACGCTCTGGCAACAAATTAGCACTGCCGGAGTCATCTTAAAGCTGCCTGTACCTTGATGCCAGCCGTAATTGTGTCGACATTGCTTCAGGTATCTACTCTCGCTGAAGACGGGCCTGAGGGCCGAACGGACTCAAGACCCGGATGACTTTCAAGACCTGTACCAGCAGCACAGTGACCTGTGCATGCTGCGGCTCTTCGACTCCTTTCTTGAGTCTGCACCTCAACTCGTGCTTCAGCTTTACATCATGGTCACCTACGAGGACTGGAACCTTTGGACGGGTAAGCACGCCTTCTAAACACCTTGCCTTTGAAGGTCACGTGTAGTGATGTTGAAGACAGAATAGAATAATGTCCCTAGTTGTGTAATAAGTCCGTCTCAACATATTGCATATGACAATGCCAGCCCTCGGGGATTGGGAGAATGAGGAGACGGTGCGCTGATCGAGACTGTTGTGATGATGATTACGGCACGTTTGTGTATTTCGAGAAAGGTTCGGCAAACCTCACCTTGCACCTTTGTTAAGGATATAGCTTGCCGGAGAATTTAAACATGTTTTAACTTGTACCAACACTCTGATTAAAGGGGTATGAAAACAAAATTTTAGCTCTTATCTCTTTGTCTAGCCAGAAACTATGATGTGTCAGCACCTTAGAAACACCAGTATTCTGGTCATAAACACAAAAACTAATTTTAAAATGATTTCTTAATACCACTTGGTAGTTGGGAGGCCGATGTAGTTATGATATTGAATGCCTCCTGCCTCAGCTTCACTCACGAAAGAACAGCACAAATGTATAGACAACTCGAGCTTGAATGGAATCGTGAAGCTTCCACGGTGCTTCGGCAACGTGCATTCCACACCATCAAGATCACTTTTCTTAGCATACGATGGGTAGGAGGTTAATCCTAGGATGCCGGGACCTTTTCCAGGCCAACCATACCACCCAACCCCCTCGTTGGGTGCGCTGTGACTGAGGCTTTCAGAGAGGTTCCGCCGGCGCCGCAGTTTTTCAAAAGTAATTGTAATTGTTTCTGAAATTGTGCAATTACTTATGCTAGAAGGTAATTAAATTGCAATTACGATTCCTTTTAGACAAAAGTAATGAATTACAATTACAAATTACCAAGAAAAGTTGTTAAATTACAGTAACTGATTTACTACCCAAGTATATTCCACAGATCTTCGTTGTCGTCTTTTTATGTATTCTCGGGGAGTGTCACGTATTCCCCTAGTAATGTATTTGGCACAACTATCCTCAGTCCACCCCTAAGCTGACAGTGCTGTGCGAGCTACGTGCTCGTTGGGCCAATCACACTTCTATCTTCTGCCACATGATCACGCTTCCACGCGCAAAGAACGGGTCCACGGCCGAAAGATCCTTTTGTGACGTAACGACTGATCGGAGGTTTTTCATGTTTCTCACGTTTAGTTGCATCTCCAGGGTAAACAAACATGATAGGTACTCAGATTTGCGAAATAAAAATACTCTATAATTCACCTCTAACTCATTTTTTTCAAGAACCTCTTCAGCTTTTTGTTTTACGAGCAGACATCTTGCTGTCGCCGCGTGGGAAGTCAACCTCCACGTGCTTGTGGTGCGCCCTGCCAGCTTTATTGCTGCAATGGAGGCTCTGGCGATAACCCCCCATCTGGGGTGGGGAACCCTAGCACTGGGCTTCCTCTCGTGGACGGGGGGAACAAAGAAGGATTTGTCAACCCTAGCCTTCCCCGCTGGAGTAGGGGAGCTTGTGGGGCGGGGAACACAGCGTGTGACGTGTGATGTGAGACGTGGGGCCGGCGTGGGGACGTGGGACGTGCAACATGTGACATGTGTGGACGCAAGTCGTGTGACAACCCGACCGGGACGAGACGTGAAGCGTGTTGACATGTGGGACGTATGACGTGAGTGTGAGACGTGTGATGCTGTGTGGTGATCCGTGAGTCGAGGCATCCCCTATAAGGGGAAGGCTGACGTAAAGGTAGCGCCTCTCGAATCTTCCCAGGGTGGGAGGGGCCCTCACATGGGAGCGGCCCTCACATGGGAGCGGCCTCCAGTAGGAGTCGAGAGATATCAAATTGATCACTGGGACGGGGCTGTGTGCTTCATGGTTGCCATGTACAGTGATTGTTGGACCCTCTGTGAGGCACGCTCATGTCTTAGTAGCGGAGTTGGATGGTAAGTCAATACTGCAGGAACTTTTAGTATTAGTTGACATTTCCCAGGCCATTCCACCGGCTGACCTGTTTGCTGGTTTCCTTTATTCCCATTAACTTCCATTTGGCGTTTCCAGAAATTCCCACTTGATCCAAGGATCTAATTCGTTTTACTTTAACTGGCTTTAAGTCTGCGGTGCAAAAGCGGGAGCGGACTGAGGCATATTATTTTTATTTCTTCTCTCGCCTCAAATTCAATTATGACCTCGTCAGCATCATCAAAAACCATTTAAGAATAACAGCTGCACCACTCTGACACCAGTGTCACCAATGCCACACCCTATAAAACTATGTGTTTGTTTCTAGAATGTAATAACTAATAACGGCATGATAGACATTCAAAATTGAATTGTTTTGCATTGACACATCAGTTAAAAGTAGGCAATCTTTCAGAGACACTTTCCGAGTTTGCTATTGCATGCTCCAAATAACCTCATTGCATCTATTCCATTGCCTCGCAGGCATCTCTGCTCTGCTTTCCCTGCTGTCTCTTGGCTGGGGCATAGCGGCGTATGGCAAGGCCATGCGTCTGTACAGAGCAGAAAAAAAGCAGCTCTCTTGGACTGGCCTGATCCTCCAGACGGTGTGGCGCTTTGGCACTATGACCTCGCGCGTCACCGCCATGGTCCTGCTTGCTTCCGTCTGCGGACCCTGGACCCTTCTTATCCTCGGCAAGTTTATGATCTTTCGTTTTAAGCTGGACTTTCCAAGGACAGGAGGGCCATGAGATAACCTCATGGTCCTCTTGTCCTTGACAAGCCAAAAGTTTGTGATCCTTTGCTTCAAACTGGAAGTCTTTTAGCTCAAGATCACCTCATTGTCTTCTTGTCCTTAGCTGAACCCCTTTTGCTTTGGGCTGGAAGTCTTTTAGCTCAAGATCACCTCATTATACTCTTGTCCTTAGCTAAGGACGTTTTGCTTCGAGCTAAAAGACTTTTAGCACAAGGTCACCTCATTGTCCTCTTGCCCTTAGCAAGTCAAAAGTTGATCTGTATCTTCAAACGAGGAGTCTTTAAGTTCGAGATAACCTCATTGACCTCCGGTCCTTGGCAAATATAAAGCTGATGATTTTTTGCTTCAAGCTGAAAGCCTTCTAGCTCAGATCACTTCATTGGCCTCTTGTCCTTAGGTGATGATCCTTTGCTTTAAGCTTAGCTCAATATCACCTCATGGTCCTCTTGTCTTTAGCTGATGATTCTTTGCTTCAAGCTAGAAGTCTTCTAGCTTAAAATTATCTCGTTGGTGTCTCATCCCAAGCTGATGACCCTATGCTTCGAGCTAGAAACCTTCAAGCTTGAAATCACTTTATTTTCCTGTTGTCGTTGGCAAATCAAAAGTTGATGACCTTTCGCTTCAAGCTGAAAATCTTCTAGCTCAAAATCATCTGATTGTGCATACTCTTCCTTGCTCCCAATGCTGCGTAGCCCCTGTAGTGACTCCATCACCTCGCTGCCCCCTTCAGTGTCCCTTCCTTGCCACCAGCACTGCATAGCCCTTGTAACTCCTGGATTGAAGAACATCACTGTTCTTCTTTCAGGGTGCCACTGGCTCTTGATGACGGTGTGGGTGACCCTTCACAACACCGACTTCTGTCCATCGAGGTGGGAGGAACGGGTCTACAATGCTGTGGTGGGCGTCATCTACACATTCTGCTTCTTCAACATTGAGGAGGGCCACTCAAGGAGACGCGTGGTCCTCTTCTACGCATTCACGGCAACACAAAACATGGCGTTTCTCCTCGTCTACTGCCTGGCCCAGGAGCACGACCCGACACACGTAGCCGCCGCGTCTGCCGTCGTGCTTACAAGTTTCGCCACTGGTGAGCAGATGCCTGCTGCGCTTTGCAGCAAACAATCAACTTTACCGACTTGCTGCTTCTTACCCTTAATTTCTGTCCACATGTCCATCACCACGCCAATGCAGTGTAAATTCAGTGCTGACCTTAGCACCGATGCAGCCCTTGCTAATGCATGCCAATACAGTCGAACCCGGTTATATCACACCCAGGTATTTTGAATTATTGTTTATACCGAACAGTCCAAACATCCCCTTGAAAATCACGTGTAATAGTATGGGAGCTTTGTTTTTCTGTATTGAACTTCTATGGCTAGGACACTCAATATAGCGAACTAAGCACGGCCGCTCGCACGGGTGCCCCTTCTCCTGCGGTCGGAGTGCGCTGGCGGCGAGTAGTACATAGCTTGCATTGCGAGACTAGCAAACCGCCAAGCCAGCATATGCTCGGGGATACGCAGCAACAAAAATGCAGTTGTAACAAAAAAAAAAATAAAAGTGGAGGATGGTCAAAGGGAAGGGCACGTGTGTGCGTAGAGTGTGCCCGTTGTTGAAGCAGTAGCGTGCGCTCTTTCCCCGAACACCCCAATAGCTGCGCGACTCCTTATCCCCCCAAAAAAACAAGCAAAAAAAAAAAAAAAAAGTCGTCGTCAAGTTGAGTGTGTGGACGACAACGGTTGAGCAATCGCACTTTGAACCTCTTATGTTTACCTTTTTTTTTTTCGCCGTCTTTGCTTTGCCCGTTTTCTTTTTTTACCGGCCTGATTTTAGTGAGGTTTTTTTTTTGTTGCTTGATTAACTTTATTCTATGGATCGAGTTTTTTTTTTTTTATGCGGCTTGCTTTTTTTTTTTTAACTTGTGTTTTGTTGTTGATCGCAAACACTGTCGCGTAAATGCGGCGGTGTTCGTGATCTTCACCAACTTAGGTCTAATGTATTTAGCGGCTCTTAGAGGCTCTATTTGGTAAGGTCCCATTTGACGCAATCTTTGGTATTACCAGAGACGCATGGAAATTTCAACTGGAGCTTAAGTTAACCTATTTCTGTATATCAAATATTGATATATCGAACTATATTACGATCCCCTTCGAATTCGATATACGTGGGTATACCTGAAGGTGTATGGCTGAAGCGAGTTGTTTTAGTGGCGCAGTTACACGTTTCATACCGAAGACAATGCACGGATCTGTTGCAGTACTTACGATTACGGTAACTTATTCCCGTCCGTGATCAACATGCTCGACATAATGCGCAATCGATTTACACTAGTATGGCAAGCGCCAAGTTTGCTCCAATACCGTAAATCTTGCCTTCCTCAGAACGAAGTTGTCCCGCTGCGACAGCCGACAGAATCAAACTCGACGCCTGTTGCCAGTATGAGATTTCGCAATATTGACCTCGCTTCGGTGAGCCACCTCATGCTATTGCAAGTTGTTAGGAGGAAACCTCAGTGATGAGAGGAGGAAACATAGTGCTAAATATTTGCCCAACTCAGCATCAATTACAGCACTGTACTGCGAGTGTGAACCGACCCCTAAGGGCGACTCCCGTCGTTGGCACCAAATTTGCAAGGCATGCAAGTCCAAAACAAAAAACGTTGCACATTCATCTATGAATCGTGTTGAACTCCCGCGCCAGTTTCGAAGGGTGCGATTTTTACACCAGAAGCAATTGTGAAGTATGTTGGTCGACAATCTTCTTGCAGGAATGTGCTGCATGGCCCTGTATTACCGGTTTTTCCATCCCAGCGGTCCCATCCCCATCTGCCGACGAGATTCCGACACTTCACAGAACGGAAAGGTAGTTGCGGTGGGTGCGATTTTGTTGTGGCATGAACATACTCAGAAACTCCACAGTGCAACCTATGTGTGGTAGTAGTCAATTTACACATCGGCATACATCAAATTATATGTCAACATACTTGCTAACAGAATGCCTCTATCTTTTGGGGAAAAAATTCAAACCCTCTTAATTCAAACTCGCGGATAATTCAAATTAACAAGCGGGTCCCGTCCTATTTGTTTCTAGGGAGGCAACTCCCTGTAATTCAAACTTTGCATTATTCAAACACAGTCTTGGTCCTCCTTGGGTTCAAATTAGCGAGATTTGACTGTATTTGTATCTCCATGTAGTATTCATACATTAAATGTCTGTACACTAGTGTGTTGCAAGGTAAGAATAGCAGGAAAAGCTCTTCCCTCTAAAGCTCTCTGCTCACCATAACTGGTGGTTTCCTCCTTTCTATCATTCGCTCTGCTAGAGTGGAAAGAGTGGAGGGCTTTATGGGACGAGCTTTTCCCGCTGTTCTTAACCTGCAACAGAATTTAGTATTGAAAGTGTGCTTCTACTTGGGTCTGCCATAGCTGACCATTTCTATATCGTACCTTAAGGAAAAGGTGTTCTACTACACCATTATCCCAAATTCCTCCACCACAGTGCCATCAAAAACTTGCCGAAACCTTACTTTGCAATGACGCAATATTACTTAGCTTTTCTATCAGACTTCTGTCGTTATCTCTTAATCACTTCGTCCTTGCCGGACAAACTAAGAAGCTAGGTGCTCCGTTTCTGCAGGAAGCTGACGATGCGGATGCGCCTGCGTACCACAGCACCCCGAAAGAAAAGACGAAGCAGCCTTCCGCCGCAGTGAATGCATCGCACTCGTTCCGAACGCTCAAGTACGTCGACTACCGCCACCAAAGTTCATCGACACCCCGCCACTGGAGCGTCGACCGGCCGCCGAGAAACGGGACCTTCAGCCCGGTGCGCGACGACACCCCATCCGACGAATTGCGCCGCTCCAATGACACGCCGGACGATTCTCAACTTTCCGCAAACGCCTCCCCAAGCACTCGGCACTTGAGCGAGCTCCGCACGTCATTTGTGGACGACATCGTCGCCAAGTTCCTCAACTGCTCGCTTGAGGAGCGCCATAGGTCGCACTCGCACAACTGCACGCTCGCCGAGCACGACGCGGAGGACGCAAGCGGTGGCGGCGGCGACGACTTCAACGCCATGCGGGAGCGCACTTCGAGTCGTCATCGCGTCGTCAACTTTAACTTTAGGCCTGCCGCAGCAAACAACGCAACGCCGGCCTTCCGGCGCCACTGTTCGTGCCTCGTGCTGTTTACGTTGGAGGACGGACTCGATGCGTCGCGGGACGGCGCGAGGTCCGTCAGAAGAGGGTTGCAGGGAGTCATGTCTGCGCCCAACGTCCGTCTGCAACGCGTCCCGTCTGGCGGCGGCTCGGAGTTGGGGTCGTGGTCGATGTGCAACTACCTCCCGGCCGACGGGGCTTCGCTCGTTGTTCCCGAGAGTTCATTGAGCGATGGTGCGCACGTTGACAACGAAGTTGACACGTCGGTGCCCCTTTTCGACGGTTGAACGACTGGTGAATTGTTTCTGTTGTAGAACGTTCCTCAAAGAAAGTATGCGTGGGGTCGACGTATTGGTGAAGTCAACATGTCCATTTCCTTTTTCGACGCGTGAACCGTTCCTGCTGCGAAACATTCCTCGGAGGAGGCGCACGCGGGGTCGAGACTGTGCTTTCCTCGGCGGCAGACGACTTTAGGACTGTTTGTTTTATTGAAGCCTGCGAACAAAGTCGCAGGATGGAAACTAGAATCCAGAAGCCAAGCCAGTATTTTTCTACAGCTGTATGATTGTTCATTGTACAGGTGTGTGTCACAATTTTGGGTACATTGGTTGCTACACGCCATACATATCGTAAATATCTGCTCCCTCACTGCCACCCTTTTGTGGCCAAATCCCCGCATCCTTGGGCAGCATTTCTATTGCAGACTAACTCTGAATTTTTAAGAATACTCTCGGGCTTTGTGTCATTTTTCGTGCTGTCCGAGGGCTCGGAAGCCAAGCTTTTACATGCATTTATTTTCGTGGTGCAACATTTAGGAAGCGTACGAGCTTTAAGCTCGTGTTCGACGTGTGTGGTCCAACATGCTTGAGGGCGGATGTGCCCGTGCCTCTGTCAGTCGACCACAGTTCAAGAACCGAAAGTGAATGGATCTTCAGTGAGAACTATGTTCGTTAATTTCCTCAACTGAACTACATACAAGTGTGTCATTATATGTAGACATCTCCATGCTTCAGAAAAATTGTCCACAATGTGATTTGTCCGTAATAATGAAGATCAAGGTCACAAATAAAAAAACAAGTGTGGCCACAAAAAACACCACTTACCTTCTAGGCGAGGGAGTGTTCCATTGCCGTGACACACGTAAGGAGAAAAGGGCAAGGTGATCTATCTGATAGAGACCCCCAAAATTATTGTTGGAGGGTCTTGTTCTATTTCTTGGGAAGGGCGACCAACAGAAAGCAATGAATCTCGAGCTGTACTTTGTGACCCAAAGCTAATCTTTTCTTTGCATTTGTGGACGGTCTCCAGAAAGCTTTTTTTTCTCCGTATAGATGAGGCAAAAACGCGCATATTTACCCAGTTTCTTTCTAAACTGGCTGTCCATAGTCCAGACTGTGGGTTTCTATATTAATGAGACGGAATTAAGCGGGAAGATGGACCGGTGCCCGAAAAATATGCTCCGTTGGGGTGTCCATCTTACAAGGGCCCTGCAATCATATTTAAGCGACTACCTTTTTTGCCGTTTCCACGTCTCTTGGGGTTTGGGCAAGCCAGCGGGCACTGAGAGAGCAACTAAATATCAGTTATATTTTAACCGGACGACGAGGAAACCCCCTCAAACTACGGGGGCGACCCGCAGTGCCGAAAGCGTGCGATAAGTGAAGTCTTTGGTCCTGGGCTTACTACTGGTCAGAGCCGCTGAAAGCTTCTCTTGAGTCGAAATACAAAATATAAGAGGCGCGAACCGTTTCAATTATTTATAAAAGTAGTTTTTGTTCAGAATTTTCGATCAGAAACAAAATGAATGCAGTTTATAACGTATGGAAATAAGAAATGACCCGCCGACATACCCGCCACCAAGCGGTGGAAAAGGCGGCGCATACTAAGAAGGTGTAGTGGGATCAGGCACTGACGAGCGGCAAGCGTAGAAAGGTCCCGGATTTACGCGGCGGCGCTGCGGTCGTAAACGTGCTCGAGGATCCGATTGGTTCCGAGCGTTCTGAAGGCCTTCGGCAAGTAAGTTTGGCTAGCGGTTTGGCCAGTTGGCGGTATGGCAGCGCGAAGTGGCTCCCATTCTGAACTGATCTTTACTCTGTGTTTATCGTCGCTTGTAACCAATCAAGTGTCATGACCAAAATAGCGTTTAATCACGCAGCAAATGCGATGCGAGCTGCCCTGGCTGCCCGCTTCATACAGCCTATCCAGAACATGCTTTAGTGGTGCCCTCTTGGGCCGTCAACATAAAGTGCGGCAGCCATGAGCGCTTGTTGAGCTCACTACCCCTCCTCTAGTTCACGGCCACTAAAGCAAGTAATGGCAAATTCGCGTGGTCAATCGTCGGCAACTTATTTTGCCGGAAAACCGGCAATAGTGTTCGCGTGGTCAGTTTCCGGCCGGCGCGCACCGTTCGGGTGGTGGTTCTCCGGCAAGCACCGGCACATCCGAAATGAGAGAGAAGGTCAGTGAGAAAAAAAAATAAACGAAAGAACGAAACTGATCTGAAGTAACTTTAGCAGCCGCTACGAAAGTCAATCCAAGTCGTTGGGACATGAGTGACGGCGGCGACAGGCTCTCGCTAGCGGTGTCGCGCGGGCAAGAGGCGAAGTAAACTGCCACCGTCTGGCGTTTCGTGTTCGGGTGGTGAGGGTCACGTGGTGTGCCGCCAGCGCGTTTCTGGTTGCCGGTTCCGCCGGCTCGTTCTCGCCGGCGACTGACCACCCGAATTCGCCATAAGGACCTCACAAAGGAGGTTATTTTTTGCCTGTTATTCTAATTTTAATTTGCTTATAACTAGGGTTCGGAGTTTTCGGTTCAAACTGTTTAAAGTACACCGAATCCATTTTCGGAAATTCGGTTTTAACTGAAAAAGGTCAGTTTGTAGTTTCGGCGTTTTCGGTTTAGACTGCTAAAAGTATGTCTAATCCGTTTTCTAAAATTCGGTTTTAACCTAAAAGGTCAGTTTTTTAGGGCCGCGTCGAGGTGGGGTGGAGGGGGAAGAGAGAGGGCTTTACAAGGTTCGACATTGTGCGACGTCTTCATAATTTCCCTCTTCCAAGGTTTAACATGCAAAAAAAGAGTTCTTGGATTGGCCTTCGCGGGACATCTGTGTCCTTTCTGTGATCGGGCTTAGCAAGTCAAGTTCCCAGTCCTAAAAGAAAAGTTTGGATGTCGGCTAGTATAAGGTTTTTCGCTTCATGCACTTCAGAGGACATCAAGGAAAGCCATTAATACCTTTCTTAACACTCTCTCTCAAACTTCCCTGTGGTTGAGAACATAAATACAATTGATTTTTTTTCCCATTCCGCTGGTCACTGTACGGTCATCACCTCAGACGGTCACATCGTCAGAATGGAGGGAAAAGAAGTGCGCTCAAAATTATGCCCGCAAATTCCGCGATTTTGAGGCGTGTCCTCACGGAAGTTGTAGCAAACTCGACGCATGTATATGTGTCGTTATTTGAGTGATCACAAATGTCACAGCTACAAGGATCATCTGATCCGGTGTCCGATTGTGTTTCTTTCATATTCACCGAAAAAAAAAACGGTAAACTTTTTTGGGAATAAATATACACCGAAAAAAAAACGAAAATTGAATTTTAAAGTAAACACCGAAAAAAGTATGCCGAATTTTGAAGAAATAAAAACCGAAAATGCGGAACCCTACCTATAACTTTTAAAATAAAGCGAAATTCGAGAAAAGAAATGTTTCATTAAGTTACTACGTTCAGTGCGCTCAGGTTCGGTACAAATTAAAAACCAGTAAAAAAGTCCATGCAGGGCCCTTTTAATGAGACGCAGCTCTACGGCATCAGTATGCAGTCTTTGGAGAGGGTGCTCGCATTCGACTGTCCTCATCAACTGAAAACACACTCCCAATAAGCACTAGACTATGCTGACAAGTAAATACTATGTGGTTTGTGAAGTGCCAAGAAACGATTGTGGGATTAATCTCCGACAAGTGTGAACAATGAACACTCACAATCGTCTGCACGCAGCAAGCTCTGAAGTTTCTCTTATGCACATGGCAGTTAGAAAATGATGTTTAGACTACTTTGATTTCCGCTATAAATCGAGCCACTCAACAGCCGCAATTGAAAACTGCACGTCTCAAAACTCGTGCTGAACTACATTCTGCGAAGTGTACAGAGTGCAGCACAGCAATCCATCATTTGCCTTTTTCTTTCAACTGAAGGAACGTCATCGAAACTACCAGTGTGGTGGCATGTGTTCATCCTGAACAGTAAATTGCACGGCTGAATTTGGTGACTTCATAAAGGAAAGTGTAAATGTTGCATTTGCGCTAACTCGTCGTGCAGCATACGTCATGACCAGAAGGCTTTTCTTGCTGCGCATGCCTCAAGTTGACAGTCTGTGATTGACAGTAAACTCTTTAAAACAATACTAACTTTGTATGGGAACCCTGCACAGATGTTGAGTGCTTGTGTTGGTTGTGCGAAAACAAGCGAGGCTATGAAAGTGTTGGCAATGACGCGCAGCCGTTGGTTTGGCATCGTGGCGCAAGGAACCAATGGCGTGCCGTGCTAAGCGGGGGGGGAGCCATACGCTAACAGTCCCCCCCCCCCCCCCCCCCCTTCCTCTGCTTCGTGGCTGCAGGGTAGGAACTCTGTATTAGTAGAATAATCTAGAGCAAGGGTCTCCAAACTTTTTGACTAAGAGGCCAGATCGGAAACCTTTCTCAACTTAGAGTGCCGGAAAATAGTTAAGACAACATAAATGAGAAGATACTAAATAACTAAGCCACAAATATACATTTAAGTACAAAAATTTAATCTAGGGCCAAGATTAAAAAAAAGAAATGCAAGATGAATACATATACCTTCTTTTTAAATGTAATATGTTGCTGACTATGACATTAGAAAATTGTAACCCAGAGAACTTGCCAGACATAAATCGAAGCGCATCGGAACTTTGGCATATTAAAACGGGGCAGAAGACTAGAAAGAATGGAAGGTCTGGTGATGACAATGTGAAAGAGTTATGACACAGGACACTAAGCCCGAAATTCATGAGAAACGCTAAGGAATTTTGTCATACAGTTACACAGACCAGGGAACTTGAATAGTAATAGACGCTTTCCGAAATTCAATATGGCCACTTGGATCACTATCATCATCTGTGGAACGGAGTCTGTGCCATACCAATAGTGGCCTTCTAGTTACTGATAAAGGAAGATGTTGAAGATTCTCCCAAGCGGATGATGTGAGGCCTGTATATTCGGGGGTTAGTACGATGCGACGTTTGAATGGAACGTAAGAGCTATGCAAGGGTTCATTTCTAACTCAGATTCAGTAAATCTGTGGGCAGCCTACGATCGGCTAGAAAGCCCTTTGGTGTATACCATTTTATCGAGGTGTCTGTTTGGGTTGAAGCTTTTTTTCTCACTGTAGGGTCTTGGTCGCCATTGAACTGAAAGTGATCGAGAAAGAACTCGCATTGAACTAATCCTTGCCTGCCGTTGACTTGCGAAAGTGGCGGTGTCCGATGAAATACAAGCTCATTTGCACCATTGGTATGGCAAGACCCAAACTCCTATACAAACAACCAGATGGCACTGAATTTTGGAAAGGGTCTATTCTGGGGACGATGATGTACATAAAATATTATGGAGAGATCTCGTATTTTGATGCAGTTTTCTCTCGAGCTTTTTCATTTCTTCGTTAGCCCTTTTAATGCGCGTTGTAGAGCCTTTTTCTTTTTTTTACACATTTAGTTTTGCGTTGGTAGAGCGGGTTGGGTGTCAATGGAAAGACCGTGTCCATTCGCCTCCACGAGCCGAGGTTTGGAGAATCCTGATCTAGAGGATTTGGAGGCATTTTACGGTCAAACTGTATGCGTGGACGCATATATGTCATGACATCCAATTAATCTTCCAGCGAAGTGACTATAGAAGAGAATAAAGTGCTTTATACAATCACAATTCCTTTGTGATACGTCATGCTGAATCATCATTTCGACAGAAAGAACTGCGCATTCAAATCCCCATCACATGCTGTCGTAACTTCACTGCAGTAGACCCTCTTCAAAAGTCGATCTGCTCACCCTTTTAGAGCCAAACCCAATGCTCTAATGGAGGCATAGCACGGCTTCTCAACATAAGGGAAAGCAAACGTCTTTGAAGCCATGGGGCAGAAAGCGAGGAATGGATTCTAGTAGGTCCGTAGTGTCGTCTTCGATTCACCAAGTCGAGGTTGCTCGACTTACTTTGGTCACCACCATTAAAGCGGCAGTATTGGAGCTTTTTAGGCCGCCTCTAGATGGCTCCGAGTTTTGAGAGGGGTTGACTGATGAAACATCTCGGCCAGGCGGCTCTTTTTTTTTTTTTTTGTCTTCAACTTTATTAAACACTTAAATTTTCTCTCTTCTTGGCTGGAAAGGGGGATGGTACAGGCACTCTGCCATGGAAACAACAACAGCCTGCGTGTATGGTACAATTTTCCGTGTTGGCTTAAATAAGGATATACGTCTTCCGCTTCACGCTTTCCAAAGTGACGTCCTCATTCCCACTTTTCCCAGTCGTCTTCAGCCTGAGGACAAGAACACAGACAAAAATTCGGTAACTGTGATCGGTGTTTGGGCGGCATCTAAAGCTTCGGCGTGCTGTGCGACGTAAGAACAGTTAGGACAATACCTCCTATATAATGAGGCCACAGTGCTGAATTTTTTGCGTCGCCTGCAAGGCGACGCAAAATCTTGAAGTTTGTGCTCCGCTGTATGCGACGCAGAAAATACAACGCTATCGCCTCAATAACTAAGTGCTGTCTAGAAACACAATCTCGCTTACCGTACGCTAACTGCAACTGCTTGGCTGTAACTGAGATCTCCCTCTTAACAAGGCCTTAGTCATGCACTTCTGGCCACTTGGAACAACCGCCGACGACAATTGAAAGCTTTTTGTGCCACCAATCGTTGCAGACGCCATGAAAGCGTCGTCTACCTTTCGTGCAGCTAGCTCAAAAACAACCATGCTGGGTCCAGGCTTCTCCCCGGACTCTAGGACAACCACGACACGCAGCGTGCAGGGGCGTACAGAGGTCCACCTGGTTCGGCTCCGAGCCAGTCGGGGGTGGCGGTGATTCGGGGTGTGGTGGGCCACGAGAGGCAGACGAAGACGGTGCGGCCGGCTCCTAGACAACGACACCATAGTGCTGGATTCTCCATGTCGCCTACTGACGGTGGCCAAAGTCGGGCAGAGGTCGGATGCGAGTACTGCGTCGACCGGGATTCGTGTCCTCGCCGACCGAACACAAGTCTCGGCCGAATGCCAACGCAGTGCTTACGATGCCTAAAACGCGTCTTTGAACAGTGTGTTCAACGTCCCATCTCGCCCGCAATGCAAGTGGTTCTGAAGGGGAAATAAATAAATGGCGCCGTAAGAGCCGACGTGCGGTGCCATTGGACATCGCGGTCCCGGTGGTTGATTGTAGAATTGCTGGCAAAAAAAAACCCGTTGCAGCAGATACAATTAGCATCTACCGCATTCATCTGCATTGGTGCGCCACTGTCGGGATGGCAGTGGGCAAGAGCACGACGCTTCTCAGAGGTCATTGGGCAGAGGTCGAGGGACCACTTTTGAGGACGCGGTAAACACCGGTCGGGATACGCTCCGGGGGTTCGATTTCGGGCGCCGCGAGAACGAGTGCGACATGTAATTTGCCTCTTGCGTGCGAGCAAAGGTGGCGTTCTTAGACAATTCGTCTACCGTGAAGCGTGCCATTCTTGGATGAAATTACGTCGTGTGCTAACAAACCGGGAAGAAAGTTTATCGTCTGCTACGAACCGAGCGCCATGGCGAAGTGAGATCGGAAGCGAGCTGAAACTGCGATCGTCCGCTATTTCACACCAGAAGCCCTCGAAGACCTGAGCTTCGTTCGCAAACCTCGAGCTGTTCCGCTGCCGTGCACAAGCCGACAAAGACCGGTGGAAGAAACGGCACTCAGCGCAGGCACGTCGGAGGCTGCGAGACCCTTCTCACTACTTGTACGACGGTGGGACGTCGTCACCAAAATACTGACTGACTGCAAACCTGCGAGAAGCTCTGAAATGTCTCGTCGGTCGATCATGCGCGAGCTGTGGTGCCACGTCCACAGCTCGCAATCGCACAGCTCGTATGCCGGCAACCATTGAAGCTCTCGCCTCGACCGAAACCAAAACCCCCGGGCTCCGTGCTTTCGTCCCATCCGTGCCCCACATTGGCTCCCGGTAGACGACGTAAAATATCCAGCACCGTGGCCGCATTGTCGAGGAGGCGAAGGTGCAGCTCCACAAAAGCGACAGAGGGAAAAAGGCTGGGTGGGGGGAGGGGGGGGATTTGTGGGTGGGCGTGGTTTACCTCCGACGACGGCGGTTTAGAAACCGGCCTGGCAACGGCGGTGGCGATGCTCGCGTCCTCGGCTCCCAACTCAAGCTCAAACTCCTCCCAGTCGCTAAGATCTGCTCGAGGCAAAGCACACGGTTTGGGGGAGGGGAAGGAGGAGGTGCCGGAGGAGAGAGGGGGGAAGGCCAATCTTAGAACTGGTGCCGGTCGCCGCCCCCTTCGTCCGCTCGACTCCGGCTCGCCTGTGGGGCGTTATACGTTTGTGGCAGTTTGATTGGTTATTCTCGCAATCTAGTTCCAGACGGAATTGCTAGAGTCGTCGACAGAATTAAGACGGCAGAGGGGGCCTTCGGTCGTCCCATCTCGAGCACAAGCTACCTGCCTTCAATGATGCTTTGGCGTCCTGCAAACTTCGAGCTCGCATGCACGCGCCTCCGAATCACAACAGAAGGCAACGAGCACGTGCTGGAGGTCGGGCACCTGAAAGACGCGCCCTGCTGTTCGTGACTATTGCGCCCCATCTACTCCAACAGGCGTAATGATATGTACAGGGTGCTTTTTCCAAGAGTGACACTAATTTTAAAAAAAGAAAGCAGTGAAAGCTACTTGTATGCGTTTTGTGCAGGTGAGTTATACAGCAAGGGGGACATAATGTTCGAGGCTAGTCATAACGATCGGTCGGCTAACTCAGTAAAATTTGTTAATTAACTTTTTCATTGCTGAAAATAGACATTTGGTTCCAGTTAGAAACCAGCTGATTGTGATTTAAGACCACTAAATTGGTCATACCTAAAATATTAGAGAATGTGCTAAAGGTACCGCTCACGCAACGGACACAAGGCTGGGGCCGTGGTGAGAGACGGGTAGATTGTGCAGGCGCCTTATCGCACCGCTAGCCTTGCTCCTGCTGCACGAGTGGAACCTTTAGTTAACTACTGCGCTTTTCACGTGCTTCAAGTCTTTGTGGAAATTACTGATTTAGTGGTTTTCAAAGACATGCAGCAAGTTTCTAAATGGAACCTTGTCTATTCTCACTCATTAAAATGTTAAATAACAAATTTTACTGAATTGGCCAACTAATCGTTACAATTAGTCCTCTACACTATGTCCCCCTGGATGTATTACTCATCTGCACAAACAACAAAAATGTAGCGTTCACATCTTTTTTTTTGTAATTAGTGTCACTTTTAGAAAAAAAGAAAACGCCCTGTATATATAGTCTAATTAATGGCTGAAGTGTGCTGCCTTGATCTGACCTGGGAATAGAAAAATCACAGCGACTAGGGAAGCAGAAAGGAGTTTTGTACTTGTAAACCTAGGTTTTACGATTTTCTCCCAACCGCCGAGGGCGCACATTAAAAACAATGCCGAGATGAGTCGCATTCGAAAAGTGACAATCTGGTACTGTAATTCGAGGGTCAGTAGTTCAGCCCTGGCACTGTGCTCTTTTGGGAAGCATTACTTCCTGCCGCAAAGACACAGAACTTGACTGACCTCCCTTGTGGTCTACACTGCACTGACATACCAAGACAAACGTTCGATGTGAACTCTAGGCTTCCGCGTGGAAGACTGCACGAGAGGTGTGAGGGTCATGATTCAAGTACAGGCACCGAGTACCGCAGCCAGGGCCACAATGCACGGGAGCACACACAACACAGAAGTGGAGGGAAACATTGACAGCGGTTAGTACCACGAAGAACGTCCCAACAAAGAACTTCGAAACAGGTGGTTGCCCCCAACCGAGGGAACTGCTCGAGATCTTTGGTATACAAAAGTTTCTGCTGACATACGAGGGTTTTCGTGGGGGCTGTATGTGACGCCGTGTCGGAAACTGGAGCAAAGCTGAAAAGTCGGTGCTACACCCGGATCAAGTGTGGGTTACTCCTTGGTCCTTAGATCTGGTCCGGAAACACCGTTGACTCGTGCCTTGGAAAATGTTTTCTCCACAAAGTTCACTGACACCCGGGGACACGGCTTGAGACTATAATGTGCATATAGGGAGGCAAAGTAGTCTCAAAAGAAAAATTCAACAGTTTTTTTTCTTAAGGTTTGCTTATAACAGTACAAACACACATTACTTGTACCAGGAGGCATTTCAGCACTTTTAATAGCTAGAGGTTGCAGCGATAGCCAAGACAGTCAGTCTACCATTGTCGCAAATTCCCGATTTCGACATCCGCTTGCTAGGATCGTTAGCCTTCATCTTTGGCCAGTGGCATCCAGCGGCAATTGTTTTGCGCGCATCAGCGGCCTCGGATGCATTTCTGTCGACACTATTTCACAAAACACTGGAGAAGCCACAAAGCCTTATTGAATGCTCTGCAAGATTTTGAACCAGGTACATATGAACGCCTCTCTAGTTTCCCTTTTAGGCCACCTAAGGCAATCGATTCCTTCTACCATCGACGGCGAGCCTCCGACATTCAGGTTTGTCCAAAAGAAAAGCTCTTTCATACCGAAGAGATAGAAGACATCTATCACACAAGAGACATTGGAGACATCTAAGACAGCTACCATACCAAAGGCACCTAGGGCATCTACCCTACAGGACACATCTACCATACAGAGTCATCGGAGACATCTCCAATACCAGACATTGGAGAAATCCAATACATTTACCATACTGGAGACATAAGAGAGATCTTCCATAGACACCAAAGATACCTTCCACAAACACCGGAGAATCTTCCATAGACACTGGAGACATTGATTATACAGGAGACATAGGAGACACCTTGCATAGACACCAGAGGCATCTATTATACTGGAGACGTAGGAGACTGTAGGAGGGTAGTGTGCTAGGCTAGATGGTATGATGACATGTTAAACATAACAGTGCACAAAGTACAGGGACAAAGGAAAGGAACACACACGGCACATGGGTTTCTCAACGCTTGTGTGTTTCTTTCCTTTGTCCTCGTCCATTGTACGTTGTTATGTCTAACATGACATAGAAGGCATCTTCCAAATACACCGGAGAATCTTTCATAGACATTAGAGACATCTATCATATTGGAGACATAGGAGACACCTTCCATAGACACCGGAGACATCTACCATACCAGAGACATCTAAGACCTCTACCATACTGGAGAAATGTTCCATAGACACAAGAGATACCTTCCACAGAAATTAAAGAATCTTCCCTAGACACTGGAGACATCTATGACACTGGAGACATAGGAGACACCTAAAGAAACTGGAGACATCTAGGGACTGTGTTTACACTAAAGATGCCAGTCTATGAAACAAGCAAACAAATCACCCACCTCTCCCGCTGGACTCCTCTCCTGAAGATGGCGACCCCGTGCCTCCACTGCCCCGGACCTCCGTCACCGTCGCACCTCTCGCATTCGTCTCCTCCACGGAGCACTTTGCGCCATCACTCCCCGCACCCTTCGCCACGGCACTGCTGCCCTCGCCTCTGGTGCACATGGTTGCCCGGATTCCCGTAGCCAGAGACGTCGCGAGGGCAGCACCCGTTGCCGTCGCGACCTCTCCCTCCTCGGGGGTGGAAGATCCGTGGGCGGGACTCGCGGTGTCGCACCCCGCGTCCCCCGCGGGGGACGGGGTAGCCTTGGAGGGGGTCGGGGAGTTGGAGCCGCTCTGCTCTGCCGACGGGGCGTTGGGGGTGTTGGGCGGGACCACCATTGGTCGGCTGCCCAGGAACTTGCTGCCGGGGTCGCTCAGGGAGTCCAGCAGCTGGTCAGAGTCCACTGGGTGATGATGATGATTAGGCATTGAATGGCACAAAATGCAACACAAACCATGCTGCACCAAAAAAAAAAAATTAAATGGTATATTTTAAACTGTGCAGATGATCTCTAACTGGTGTGATGTAGATCTAAACCAAAATAAGATATGAAGGTTCACCTCCCAGCATAAAGGCTGGATGAGTTTACTGGGATAGAATGGACGCAGGTCAAAGTTACCGGACGAGCAACACAAACTCATCGAGCACTCGTTGCTTGTTACATGCAAGCTGTCGAACATCATCCAACACGGGTTTTCAGACTTTCCTACCCCAAGGAACCTGGCTTGAAAGGCAGCTGAAGAACACCTCCCAGTCTCACATCGATGAAACAAAGGTCTGTAGGCTTCTGCAGTGCTTTAGTACAGGGAGTTCCCGAGAAAAGAGAACAGTGTTCTTCGGCCTGGGTAAATAAACTACCGTATTTGCACGAATATAACGAGAGTTCTTTTTTAGAAAAGTTCACCTAAAAACGCGCCCTGTGCTATAATTGGAATCAAGATCGGTCGTGCGTGAGGTACGGAGGAAAGCCGACCTTCGGGTGTCATTGGGGAATGGAGAGAGTCAGACGAAAACGGACAAGCGGGGAAGGAAGTTGCAGCACTCGTTAAAGGAGGAGGAGGATTCGCGTGCGAACGTATGGCGGCATGTTTCGCCATAAGCAACCGGAGATGTGGGAGAAGGAGAGGACCAACTTGAGAGAAAAAGCTCATGAGAAATGCGAGGAGAGGCGAGGTGTGCGGGGGAGCGAGCTGTTTTTTTTCTACTGTGGTGAGGAGCGGAGCAGGGCTTCAAGGACGTAATGCTCGAAGCTTGCTGAATCACGCCGGATTTGGTTTCCCTTGTTCCGTTGCCTGTTCTGGTTTCGCTTGTTCTGAGGCGCCATAACTCTTGCTGTCTGCTCGGAAGTCTCTCCTGGCATTTGTGTTACGATGGAGAAAAGGACGCATTACACCGCATCCTTCAAGAAACAGGCAATTACCTTGTTTGAAGCAGGGTGTCGAACCGGAACCGAACCGAACCGAAAACCGGAACCGAACCGGTATTTTTTTCGGAACTGAACTCGAACCCGAACCGTTATATTGTTATCGCGATGAACCCGAACCGGAACTGAACCGGAAAAAAAATAACGGTTACCGGCTCATGTCAAAACGGTTCGGCCACGCGCTGTTGACAATGAATGTGCTATCAATGCCATTTGTTTTTTAAGTGCCGTCAACTGACACACACCTCGCTTACATATTTTTCTTCTCCACCCAGTCTTAGGAATATAAACGCTGCATCCATGAATCTTGACAAACGCTTCATCCATGAATCTTGACATAGTTCTACTTGTAAGTGGGTTTGTAAGGAGGTCGCGGATTTTACAGCTACTGCGTCGGACCCAATTAGATGAATTCCGAATGCGTAAACGTCGGTGAGAAACCATTCCGGGTAGAAATCCCTGAGCCTTACACTATGATGTATCTCGTTTCGTATGTGCTGATTTCAGATGTTTTATTTGTAATTTATTTTGATGTTGCAATTTGTCATTCATAATTTCCAAACCGGTTCGCGAACCGGTTTAGCACCCCGAACCAGTTCGCGAACTTGTTCGCGGATCGAATTAATCGAACCGGAACTGAACCGGAACAAAATAAATTTACCTGAACCTGAACCGTAACCGGACCCATATTTTTTTCGGTTCGACACACTGGTTTGAAGACATTGGAAATTCGAGCGCGGCCCGACGTCTAGGGATCAACGAGTCTACCATTCGAGGGTAGTGGAAGAACCGTGACCAGATTTTTCGAGCAGCGCCTACCCGGAAAGCCTTCCGTGGGCCGAAGCATGATTGTCACTCTAAGCTGGAGAAGAATCTAGCAGATTTCATCAAAGAACTTCGTGGCCAGTTTTTGCCGGTCAATGCCGAAGTGATCCAACTAAAACCGAGAGAGCTCGCACGGGAAGCTGGCCTGTCTCGCAACACTTTTAAGGCGAGTCGCTCGAGGATGCAAAAGTTTATGCTTCGCGCTGGATTCTCGCTTCGCCTGAAGACCTCCATCTGCCAAAAACTCCCAGCAGATTAAGAGGAGAAACTCCTAGCATTCCAGCTTCGCGTCATTTCCCAGCGCAAGAACCGAAACTACCTCATCGGTCAAATCGGGAACGCCGACGAGACTCCATATTTTTGGACATGCCATCCAACTACGTCATGGATGTTCGCAGCTCTAAGGAAGTGCGTCTTCGTTCAACAGGAAATGAAAAAAATCGGGTGACGGCGATGCTGGCATGTACAGCCGATGGTCATAAGCCGCCACCTTTCCTTATTTTTAAAAGGAAAACACTTCCGAAAAATAAACATTTTCCTGCCCGGATGCACATCAGGTGTAATGAAAAAGGATGGATGGATAGTGCAATGATGCGCGAGTGGATCCCGGTCGTGTGGGACAACCGACCAGGTGCGCCCTTCAAAATCCCCTAGATGCTTGTGCTCGATACTTTCAGGGGGGCACTTGACGGACGAGGTCAAGAACGCCATCAGGGAGGCAAAGAGTGACCTTGTTGTCATACCTGGAGGAATGACGTCGCAGCTCCAGCCCCTGAATGTGTGTATTAACAAGCCCTTCAAAGACCGGGTGCAAAGAAAACACGAGGAGTGGCTCGCGGACAATAACAAGGAGCTGACGCCAGCGGGTCGCGTTAAGCGGGCCTCCACCTCGCAAGTCGCGAAGTGGATATACGCCTCGCAAGTGGGCTCATTTTCGTCTTCTGCGCATAAGAAAGGAAGTAGCGGTGACGTCAGAACGCCGAACTCTCATTGGCTGATCGCGACCCCCTATCTGAGCGTCGTCTGCTCCTTTGCAACGTCGTCTGCTCGCAACGTCGTCTGCGTCTGTCTTACCTTTCCTGCGACTTTCGGAGCGAACTCGACCTCGCCTTTAAGAGAGGGCAGACGAAATAACTCGAGCGGTACGTTGTTTTTGTCTAACAACTAGCAGACGCGCATCAAGGAGGGAAGTCAAAGGACTCACCGGCGAGGTGTCCCGGGGCGCCGAGGTTTTTTTTCTTAGAACCGAGGCAAGTTCCCTCCCAAATACTTTTTCCCTCCATTCGTGTGCGGCGAGGGCGCAGTTAACGTCGTCTGCTTTACGTCTGCTAGTCAAAGCGGTCAAAGCGATGGCTGCTTTACCTTTGCTGCGTCTGTCGGAGATTCACCGCTTTTTCATCGGCGAGAGTCACCGTTGCCTCGGGAAACCAGGAGATAACAAGAGGAAGAAATTGACCCCTTAATCGAAAATTGAGGTCAGCAATCAAAATATTATACGGGAAGGGTTCACAAGGGTCGCGCGGGCATATTCCACTCAGCACGCCAGCCGGTCGTGGGCAGACGGTCGCCGAGTCGCGGAGAGCCTGCTAGGCCTAACTGCCCAGCTCGTTTGGTCGCGTTCGGTGGGATCGTGGCCGTGGGAGCTTTGCCCGGGTGTTTGTGGATCCAGCGTTCTTGTTCGTCGTGGTCTGTTTCAAGTACTTTTTACTTTTTTCTTGCTGCTTGAAGTTGGGACGCGTCAGAACCGCACGTGAAAAAATAAACGTCCGTGGGCCGTCGCGACCGCGACGTTGTCGGCCATGCTGATTTGATCGTAAGAAGTGCGTAAGACAGCTTCGGAGCTGTCGTAGGATTTCGTCGTAACCTGCGCAAAACTTACGAAAATTTCGTTTCGTGAATACGAATTTGTTCTTAAGTTTTGTCTTACGCACATTTTTGGCGTAAGATCGTTTCGTGAATCTGGCCTCTGCACTTCCGAAAGTCGCAGGAAAGATAAGACAGACGCAGACGACGTTGCGAGCAGACGACGCTCAGATAGGGGGGCGCGATCAGCCAATCAGGGCTCGGCGTTCTGACGTCACCGCTACCCCCTGCGCGAGAAGCAGACGAACTTGCCCTCCACATTGAATGCATGGCAGGCCATGCCACGCTCAATTGTGTCGCGTGCGTTTCTCAAGTGTTGTTTGTAAAATAGCATGGACGGCACGGATGATGAAGTGATGTTCGCAGACAGCGACCGGGAGCTGAGCAGCGATGATGAGTAAAATAAAAATGAAAGGGTGGAACACGTATCCGTAAAAGGAACCGAAAATTGGACGGGATTCAGAGCGTTCGGAAAGTGAGTATTTAAAAATATATATATATATATATATATATATATATATATATATATACAACTACGCATATCTAATGCACACAAAAAAAAGCAAACATGGTTAAAAAGCATTTACACGGCAAGTTTTTGCGCATGTCGAAAATAGCGTGAAACCAGTTTCACGTGCTCAATTTCCGCCGATATTCGGCTCACCTTTTAGCATATGTGTTCCGCTCTTCATACCAGTTTTCTACCAATGTTTGTTCCCTTTTCATTTATTATGGTATGTCCTCGAGCGCGGCGGACTTACGCAGCGGTGGGCCTCGGCTCGCGTTATTAATAATTTTTTTTTTTTTAACGACCTCAAAATGGTTTTTTTTTTGCGTTATTTTCGTGCAAATACGGTATGCATCGCGGAATGTTCAAACTCCGTGAAAATGTGACGCTAGCGTTTGGAATAGAATGCGAAAGTTTGAAAACATGACGCTACCTGGACCAAAAGAAAAATTGATAAAAACAAACTCTCTCTATGGGCTGACATCCACCTAAGCCCAGTTTTGTCACAACAAAAAATGAGATTGTGGGTGCCTGTAGCATTTATTTCCGCAAAACAAACTTACCAACAAGGAAGAAGACAATATTCCTTTCCTTGCTGACAAGTCTCTTTTACTGATGTAAATCCCATGAGTGTTCACAGTATCATTCATTGCGTTGACAATATTAGACTTAGGTGGACGTCGGCTCGTAGACAAGTTTCGTTTTTCTCGGTTATCTTTTAATCCAGGCACAGCCATCTTCTCAAGCTTTTACATTCTAGTCCAACCGCTAGCTTCACGCACCCACGGAGTTTGAGCTTTCCGAAATGCACAGCTCGTTGATCCGGGCCGCAAAACGCCGTCCTTTTTCCTCGGGAACTCCCCGTACATCAATGCTTAAACTAGGACAACGACGCGCACGGGGTCAACTGTGCACCGCTCACCCCCACTGACGGAGAGGCGCTCGCTCGACTGCTGCACGCTGTTCACGAGCTCCTCCTCGGCCTGCCAGAGCTGGAAGGCGCGGAAGAAGTAGCGCTGCCAGAACTCCTCGTGCGAGACCGCCCGGGGCACCAGCTCGTCGTAGTAGCGCTGCACCTCGGCGTAGTTGAGCAGCAGCTCGGCAACCTCGTCCCGGTGCTCGCCCAGGGAGAATGTTTCCAGCCAGCTCTCGTACACCTCGGGAGGGCAGTCCGGCTCGTGGCAGTATGTGTTGCGGTCCACTAAGATCGAGTGCAGGCAGGCCTGGGAGAGGGAGGGCGGGGTAATATGCAACCACCACCGCATGTTTTCACTACGCCGCGGGCATGTTGCGGGTATAATACAATGCAACCCACTTGTAACGATCAGTTTCCAGAGTTTCTAGACTGGAAATGATCAGTTTCTAGTCCAGATACAACGATAATCGGTCACAACGACTGAAATTTTGGGTCTTCTGATTATCGTTATAACTGGGTTGCACTGTATCGTTGAATTCTTTCCTTCGTCTAAAGCTGAGCGGTACTCGATTTATTTCGTGCCTCCTCCTCCCGTACATTTCGTGTCGTTTATAGTTTAGATTTTTTATCTTTCTTTTTACCCCCTTCCCTTTACTTAATTCTCTACATGAGCCTGCGAGATATTGCTAATAAAAAAAACAAATAAATAAAGGGCCAGCAGACAAAGACTGCTGCCAAGCCAAATTCACCCCCGACGACAGCCAAATCGGCTCTGCCCACATGCCCTGCCCTGACGGATGGACAAACAAACACGCTTTAAAATGGGAGACTGCTGGAATTCCTTTCTTCGAAACCGGAGCATATACATTTAGCCCATAGCCACCAACCGGATGAAAAGGGCGGGACATCTCTTACGAAAATGACTTGCTGCAAAAGCGTGCGTTCATCGAATTCCGCTGTGCTTTGGCTGTGCATGCACCCTCGAGACTCCCTAGATGCCAGAACACTGCCGAAGGCGTCTCCATCTCCTCGCTCGCCCTCTCACGGCGGAAACGGGAAACACTCTAGCTAGGGTACCCTGGTTCTCCCGCTTGCCAAGCACAGCGAAACTGCTCGCGATCGGGGCTCGCAAAAAGCCATTTCTGAATGTAATCAACGCCCTTTACTGTCCCGATGTAGTGCTGCAGCTGGTATGAGCTTGTACCTTATTAAAGAGTTTTAATGCTGCGTATAGAAGCAAACGCAAACGCCGTGCATTTGTGTTAGAGTTGAGTGCTCCACGCTGCGCATGCGTGTCGTTGCCATGCTCCAATCTGAGACCGCAATTTTGGGTTTTGTGCGCATAGTGTGGAACGCGCAAAGCTAACGCAAACACACGGTGCTTGCGTTCACTAGTACTATACGCAATACTAAAACTTGCTGCTGTTTCACCGATTTCCGACGCCAACGGAACATGCTGCAGGGAGCAGACGTGCATGCGGGTGCGCGTTATCTCTAACTGGAAAGGCCGAAATCGGCAAAGCGACGGCGCGTAAAAATTAAAGAAACTAAATGTTCTAAAAAGATTGGTAAATAATTTTTCAAAAAAAGTCGAGAGTTGCGACTTTGATGGCACGATATGCTTCACCCACAATTAATTTAACTTTACGTGGATTTCTCAGATTACCTAGAACGTTTTTATTGATTCTAAACCATTTTTATTTTAAACTCGTTAATGAAAAATGCTGCAAATGGCACCAGTGATTATAATTTGCACACTTTTGATTGCCATACTTGCTTGAGCATTTGAAATTAGCTCATAAGCTACAAATTACATTAGAGCTTGAGAAACTATGCATTAAAATATCATAATTGTAATATTATTATTAATAGAAATTGTGGCAATGTAGGCCCCCAATAAAAGCCGCAATCATAAAAATATGCCAATTAACCATAATAGTCTTTCCAGAAAGGTATCATTTTGTTTTCTTTTTACCATGTGAAAAGCTCCGTCATCAAGATAGACAAACAGTCAAACACTGGATGAAATATAAAGTCCTACGAGTGTGTGTGTGCTTTAGAACAACACAGACACTCCAGCTGTCTCACTCGGATCACATCTTTGGGTCGTTGTAGTGAGAACAGTGTTTCTTAATTTAAATGTTTTGTGAACATATTCTAAACTCATCACCCGTGGCAGTATGTTGTAAAATTTGGATCGATTCTATTATTCTTACGCTAGGAATAATGTTAAAGCTATCAAATCATCTGAATACCCTAAAACCGATTAAGAAGCCTGCACTTCATTATTTCACATGACAATTATAGTTGCAAAAAGAGGAAGCAAGAACACAAATATCACCGCAGATCTTTTCAACAAATACAATATTCTAACCTAAATTATTTTGAAGTGCCTGGGTCGGACGCATGTCACAAAATAAAGTTTCCGTGAAAGTCTTTATCTCAATAATTACACTGCGAGACACATCTTGAGTGATGAAAGAATCTGAAATTAACACCTATACCGAAAAATTATATCTAAAATGGAGTTTAGTTTCGGTTGCGTTCCAGAATTAAAAGGTAGCTACTGGCGTAAATTTTATGCTAAACAGTTTTTGTTTTCAGGATAAAGAGGTGACCCGCGTGTATAACACCCTAGCTTCCTCGTATAAATGGGAATAATTTGTGCCGCTCAGTGAAGCCGGCACACTGGAGAGGATCAGCAACTGGTACACCGGCAAGCATCACCGACCCCACCTATAACCACCATTTTAGAAAGCGAGTGGCGCCACCTGTGCTGGATTGGAGCTTTGAATAGTCACCGGCAAGCCACCCTCACCTGCCACCTGTCCACGGGGTGGACCTCGTTGTTGCGTATCACCGACAGCTCGTCGTCTGCAGGGTCCCAGGACGGGGAGAAGGCCTCGCTGAGGGTCCCCAGCAGGGTCGAGAAGCCCTCCTTGGCCTTGGTCGTGACCGACGCGTCCCCATCCAGCTGCGTCGAGAACATGCGTCGCGCGAGGGCAACGTAAACGCCATTGTCGCCGCTGCACGGACTTGACAGCGTGCTCGCACAAGACCACGACTCAGAGCCGCTTCCGGCTCGGAATCTCCGCCAGAATTCGGGTCGGCGAGTTTCGTCTGTCTTTGTCCCACGTCGGTTGCGTCTTTATGTGCACGGAAGCAGCGCTTCCCAAACCGCTCGAGCTCTTTCGCGTCGCGATCGATGGCATTGGCCAACATGGTTAGAAATGTAAAAGGGCATCGCTCGGTACTAGATTTTGATACGGGGCTGCCTCTACCTGGATTTCGGACGAGCTGGCGAGAGAGAAGCTTGCTCGTGGGGGAGGGGCAAAATGGTGCCGGGGAAGTCACGGGGTGGCTCCGAAGACGAAAGAAGTCTCGAATTTAAGCGTCCCAACATACATCCCCAATTATACTTCTCGGGTTCAGTCGTCGATTGAGTCGTCTGCTCGCTTCCACGTTCCACCGACGCCAAACACAAAGCTAACGAAGAATCGCTTGTGTGCGTGCGCATAGGGAAAACGGCGGAAGGCGTCGCCGGCAGGATTGTTGACGCTGGACATCTTAGTTTCCGAGCACATTGTTTGTGACGTGTCCGAAAGTGACGTCAAGTGCAGGAGCCCCGTGGACCAATCTCACTAAGCGTTCCACGCATGCTTGACGCCGCTTGTGCTCGCTTACGACGGAAAAACACAATTCCGGTCTGCGTGCAAGGTTTTGAAGTATTTGCGAGACATCCATACACAACTGATGAGAAATGGTGGCTTATAATAAGGATCTCGTGTTTTCAGAGCTTTTTATTTCTGGGAATTCAGAGGGTGTTTTTTTAGTATATCTTCAGCCGTAAATTCTGGGTTTATCGGAGTTTATTTTTGTTTGGTTCCCAATTCTCATGAATTAGAAATTAAATTTTACTCCATTCAAAATTTTTTTTAAATTCAAAATAAAGATAAATAATTTTGGACCAAATGCACCCCTAAGCTGATAAAAGTTAGTACTCCCATTTGGAACGGCGATTCGAAGTACTAACTGTCCCACAACAAATCTTACAAACAAGTGTTGCTCCAATAAACGTCAGTACCTTGAAATAGCCAAACTCCTTTTCACTGTTATAAAAAAAAGAAAAGCTCCTTTATCGAAGAAGCACAAATAGTATGGTGCAAACTGGAGATCGGAACAGTGGCGTGTGTCGCGGCCGTACACACTTTGACGAAAAGAACCAAAAGCTCAAACTTGTCATAAACCTGAGATAAAAAAAAAATTACTAAGTGGCTTTTTGAGACCCCTAACATCGTGCTCGACGGCCTTTATTCGTAAAGGACCGTCTTTCTTACTTTTTATTTAGCCATTGTTCCGCCGAAATTCATGCTTTGGATTAATCCGAAAACACGGAACCCCTACTCATAACGTTGGCAGAATTATTTCGGGCCCACGGTAAAAGAATGGTGGGAAAAGATATGCCACGAGAAGCGTTCGTGTTTCTCATTCATAAGCAGTTACGAGCGAGCAGAACAGACTCCATCACCCTCAAACGTGAATGTGCGAACCAGCCTCGAGAGGTTGTCTGCTCCACGCATGCGACGACGGGCCGCAAAGTGGCGTCACGTCTACGAGTGGCCCACAACAATCCGTTTCACCTTAGGTGCGAGCGAAGCGGAAGCTACGGAAGCGAGCTGCGGGCTTTCGGCGCACCTGACAGGCACTAGCGCTTGTGCACTGCATGCGTCGTTGGGATCGACCGCGCGCTTGCATCCTCAACTTTGTTCGCACACGAAGCGAAACGAGCTATACGAAATGTGACTTACTTCCGCACGAAAGCCGCCGGTCAAGGACTGAGCATTCAAGTCTTCCCTCGCACTTCAAAGTGTTGCTTCTAAGCTCCGGGTAATCTAAGGCGCATCTCATTTATAGAAATAATGAAAAACAAAACAGGATCATTATATATGACCTCTGGAACACCAAAAGCACGTTACTTTAAAGGGCAACTCCGGTCCATACTTTCGGTTTTGGGATTGTGACTGTTTTTAGTGCAGTCAGCGTCCCTGAATTGCAAGGTATAATTTTTTTGTCGTCATTGCGGGTGGTTTCAAAGATATCGACACCTCAATGTTTTGTTTGGGGTGCGGCCAACAAAACCGAAACTAGCCGCTTGAGGTTCCATCAATACTGGAAAACAGCTGCCATGTGAATGTGACGTCAGGATCATTCTCAATCAACGAGTACGCAGGCCGCGCGGCACCTACCTCTTTTGCGCTAGCCGTCTAAAGATGGGAGGTAAACTGATTTTGTTTTAATTGTGTATACATGGTAGTTATCCAGCATACGTAGCAAGAGTCAGTGGCGTCACAAAGGGTGGGGGGTGGGTTCGCCCCGGTGCAAGGCTCAGGGGGGTGTCGCAGCGCCACAAGAGCGGGGGGGGGGGGGGGTGTGTGCGGCGGGCTACCGCTTCGGGTGCCGCCGCTGGCAAGAGTTAGTGCGTCTACCCAAAAGCTAGTGACTGGAAAACCCGTGAACTTGTACGGTGTCGCACTCGGCGGCCGCTGCCGAGCCTGCGCTGTGCCATGCTCGTCACTTGAATACACAAACTCATCTCTGTGACGTCACGGCGCGGTGGTGGCGCGTCGGTCGCACTTCTGGTCTGGGGCTGTGGGCAGAAGTCCCTATGCCAGACGTGTATTCCTGTGTTGTTTTGGAAGGAACCAGACAAAAACCTGCCTTCTTGTCAAAACGCCGCGACTGGGGCCATACCAAAAGTGTCGAGAAAGGTTTGAAGGTCAGTTTTCACGTGCTCGGTTCGTCCGAGAATCTGGATATGTGCCGTGAAAAGAGAAAAGCAGACGCCACCGGACCACGATTGCTTGGGCGAGAAGCACTTTTGGGCTGAATTCACGGATACTTGAGGTCATCAGATTTATTTGTTTTGTTCCAACATGAACGCCAGAAAACTCAAGTTGTGCGGACCACCTGTCTACGTTCAGTGCGTCTTCAAGTTCAAACGGCCGCCTGATTGTTCCAATTGTCGTCTGCTCTTTCAAACGTCTCTGCTTGTCGTCTGCTCTCTTAGACGACGCCGGTCCGTAGACCAAATGTTGGCCCGATACTTGCGATAAGAAGTAAGTGCAGGCCTCAAAAGACTTAAATTTGAAGGTTGGTAAGCAGGCTCGATGTAAACAGAAGATACAAGGAGACTTTGGTCATTGTTACCAGTGACCAACACCGACTTGTTATGCCTAATTCAGTTGGTCCGATTCTGCTTGCGATTTTCAGTATCGTCGTCGACCATCTCAGCTACGGTTCACGCTTTTGCAGCCCGAGCGGCGTCGTGACTGAAAATTCCGAGCGAAATCTCATCGTGCGAATCAGGCTTTAGCGTACAATCTGCGGCATCCACGCGGAATGAATCGCCACCTGTCACATTAATTACGCGAATTTTTGCGGTGTAACGAGCCTTGGTAATTTCGCTGACGCCACTCAAGATAGTTAGACATCGCCAGGAAGACGTAGAACCAACAATTTGAACGCGAAAAAGGGCAGGGGGACTCACACCGACGCCGACAACATCGCATTTCAATGGTTTGTTTATGGGCGACGGCGAGATTCTTGCCCACACCCCCATCGCGCATGCGCGGTGCCGGTGGCGTCCGCTAGGGGCGCTCCGGTTTGTTTGTAAACATGAGTTGGTGTATACCCAAAAGTTAGCGACTGGAAAACGAGTGAACTTGTTCAGTGCCGTACTTGGTGGCTGTCGGCGTGTGTGCGGTCTTCCGTACTCGTCACTAGGCCTAAATTGTCGTCGGGGCTCCGTGGATGGAGCGGCGGTGCTCTAAGCTGCGTTGCCAGTGACGTACAGTACTGGGGGCCCTCTCACTTTCGCGCTGCGGGTCAGTCCCAGCCACAAAGCTTTGAGGCTCTCCGGCGCGGGTCGAGGCACCTGAACACGTGTGCTGGGCTGTACACGTCTGTTTTTTTGTGTTTTTCTTTTTCTTCCTTGGGAGCGTAAAAGCCAAAGTCCTAAGTCCACTCGTCGAACAGCGTTCACCAACACGTTCTCAAATTTTCGGTCCGTTGGAGACTTGTGAAAAAGCACATCCGTGTTGTGCAGCGGGTTGTTTGAGCAGCCCACAGCGCTACAAGTCGCACTGGGCATCTTTCGAGGAACAGCTGGGCAGTATTGGGCGCACTGAACCATGGTTAAAAGCGCTAAAAAGATGTACAAAAGATAGAACACAAACACGGGCACAATATTCTATCTTGTGTACATCTTTTTAGCGCTTTTAACCATGGTTCAATACAGTCAACACCAACTAGCCCAACAACAAGTTCTTTTACAGTATTGGGCGCACCGAGTTGCTCGCTAAAACGAGTCTTGGAGTCCTCACAAGCAAATAAACAAAAGGCTATACCGAAGCTAACGGGCTACAGATAGAAGTAACGGCTAAACACACCAATCACAAGCCGAAGTAGCTGCGGTAGCGGCTCAAAGAAGCACACTCTGCGCAACGCACGGACCGGAGGAAAAAAAGAGAATGATACTGACACCACGGCCCAATGTCGCTTTACCAATCGGCAACCCGCTGGCCGTTTGCTAAGGAGCAGCGACTTGCGGCGGGTCGCATTTTATTATCGGCATTAGTTGAGAATGTGGCGTCCCACGGTCGTAATATTTTGGCTGGGGTCGTATTTTGTGCAACTACAGCGATACCAGTAATTTATTTCATTTTGAGTTTTGGCCGGAGTTGCCCTTTAAAGGAGGAGCTTTGGCAAAATATTGATGATCGTTGATTTTTTACAAAAATTATAACCACATACTAATTATCCGCCAAATAAATATGTCTACCGAATATTTAATTAAGATACTGTAAACGACCTATTTTTCGCGGGCTCAATATTTCGCAATATAGGTCAAAGCTGAAGTTTTCGAATAATTTGTGGGTTATAATTTTCGCGAAGCGGTGGGATCTCCATATAGATTTCAATGTGCTTACATTTTACCGGAATTGTTCGCAGGACCTATTTTTTTGCTAATTGTAGGCAATTTGCACAAAAATTGGGTTTTTGCAAAAATTATGTTGTTCACAGTATTTGTTTTCTTTCGAGAAAATGAACTTTGGAGTTTAGGCGATAGGGTGCACCCGAATCGCTTGTTGCCGCTCTGCTGGCAACGAAGAGTGGGGGGCCGCTCATGATGCCCAATGCTGTATCCGAGAGCAGACGACGCTCTCTGCCGTGTGTGTTGTGCGTCGTAGCGAAGGCGAGCATCAGTGGTTTTGCTAACTGCGTCTGGTTTAGGCTGCCTGCGGCGTGCATCGGAGGGTGGAGAGAATGTGAGTGGCTGTGGGGTCCAATCACACCGCGAGAAAGTGCGGCAGAGTGACGTCTCGTCGGTTTCTGACCGAGCGGTCTCTGCAATGGAAGTGGATCCGAGCAGGTCTTGCTTCTAGCTCGCAACTCCTGGCTAGCGTTCACGTCGTGCTAGAGAACAGTTCACGCCTTGCTGATAAACAAAACTTTGCGTGCCATTCTGCTGTGAAGTGTCATCTGGATACACACGCCGGCATATCGCGAATGCGGCCCGCACATGAGGTCCTCTCAGAGGCGGTGCCGTCAGATCGAATGCAAACAACGAATTGTCTGAAATCTCGAGCTGAAAATCTTAAACATTTGCTGGTCACTGCATGATTAAGACAAGCTCGATGAATCATAGTTTATTACTTCCCACGGGCAATTGCGACAACCTTCCGACTGCTTCCGATGCCAGGCAATCGTGGCTAAAGCGGCCCACGTGCTGATGTTTATACAACGTCTGACGTCGCAACAAGATGGCAGACAAGCAGAGTTGCAGGTTAGTTTCGGTTTCAATTATATCATATTTTTACGATTAAAATTATTTAAAACATCTTGCTCTAGGCGGAGTTCCTTGTGCTCTTTCTAAAATATGTTATTGAAAACGTTCTAAATTGATGCTACAGCTCCCCTTTAACCCATTCGCTACTAAAGCCGGCAAGCCGCTGGGCGTGCCGTCAGGGGCAATACTGCCAAAGCTGGCGATTCGCCGGTCTGCATGAATTTCTGTTTTAGAGAGCTATTCATAGATGGCGCACTATGTGGACTTGGGGTAGTGTAGTTAGATACATTGTTAACAGATGGCGAGGGTCGTACTGTTTGCAGTTTGTTTGAGCTTGTTCTTTTGTGCGTCGTCTTTGCCGCTCCATCGCTGCCTGCTTGGAGAAGATGGCAGCGTCTAGCGTAACGTGTGACTTTTCCGAAGATGAAATCATAGATATCCTCTTTGACAGCGATGATGACAGCTCGTCTGCTGAGGATAGTGAGTTTTCAGAGTCTTCTGTCGACAACGGGAGCGATTCCGACAGCGGTTCTGAGTATGAATCACGACAAGAGTGCACTAGTTCTGCAACGCCTAGGCGACCGAGAATGGAATGCTTCGAGGCCACTCATACGAGGAAGAACCTTTGAAGGCCTATTGACATAAAGGCTTGAACAAACCACTTGAGCATGTAAATAAACATGTTTTCTTGTTTTCTGCACGGAAGTTTACTGTAAAAGCCCATTATACAAGCAAAACAGTAACACCTAGTGTGGCCCTGTTTTAGGGGAAAAACATGCAATACGGACGACCCGGCAGCGCGCGAAGCATGCAGTAGCAAATGGGTCAAAGAGACTTTGAGCCCGCAGTCTCCCAAAGGCTATGCTAGCTCACAATTCCCGTGCATTCTGGCATCATAGTGTCCCATTTGTACTTCTTGGTTAATAAATGACTCGACGGGTACAAAATTAATTTTGGATGGTGGCTGGACACTACCATTTCAGCAATGGCTTTGAAGAGGGTGCTACAATTGATAGCAGCCCACTATGCAAAGTCGTTCGTTCACTGACATCCGAGGCAGTGAAAAGCCCGCTGCCCCCAACAGGCCATCAGGGATGGTGGCTCCACAGCTGAATGAATGGAAGGCCCCACCACGAACAAACTTCGGCAAAGCGAGAACCGCATTGTAGAGCGATTTTTGGCATAAGATTGAATGGCTTGATTGATGATACGAGCTGTGCCTATTGGCACCGGGTGGTAGCTTGCGCCACCTATTGTAGAGTAATGGCGCTGGGATTGCCAACCCACCTTCAGCTTGTCTCGAACAAAGGCAGCAGTCGAGGAGACTGCCTGTGCCGTGTCCTGCTGCACTGTACTGGAAAATTCCGTCAGGTCCTTCTTGAAAAACTCGTACGCCGTTGTCGACTGGAACGAAGCACGCCGAAATGCACAGGCAAACTTTTATGCTCGCACACACAGCGTGCACACCAAAACACATAGGCAAACTTTTATCCTGACAAACAGCACACTAAAAGACATAGGCAAACTTTTCTACTATTAGAACCACAGCACACCAAAAAAACACGCGCAACCGCTTACTCTGAAACACAGCACGCCAAGACATACGTAAGCTTTTACTGACAAAATACCTACCGTAATATTTTGAGCAAATGCTCACCTCTTCACAGGAGATAATTGGGGGGAAAAAGGCAAGTGGACAAATCTCGTTGCTTGCACACACGCGATGAACACCGCCTATCGGTATACGGCCCAAACGCTTCTTCTGTGAAAGCATGTTTCTAAAACCGGTATCCGCGAGGGAAGCGGCGTTTGACCTTTTGTAGCAAGTTCTGTAGCAGGCAAAATATTGTTTTGAGCAGATGACAACACCCATTAGCACATCACCTGAAGAAAAAAAAAAGGTTAATGCATCTCTATTTGCATTTTTATTTGATTGAGGGTTCCTCTTTGATACTGGAGCATATTACTTATTACATTTTTGTAATAAGAATAGATAGATGCAAAAGGAACATAGCCTTCTTTTTAGGAATAAGGCTTGGTCAGAGCAGGTTCCATTTACAATAAGTACAAAAAATGCAACACTTCAGTTGGGATAAAGCCCATCCCACTTTTACATCCGGTAGTTTATTTAGCCTGTAAACATAATTTCTGTAAAATGCCAGCAAACACCAGCATATCCGCTAACATGTCTATCAATAAAAATGCGTCCACAAAGTTTTTTGAAATCTACCAAACTCAACTCTAATATTATAAACTGCAAAAACAACCACCCACAACTAGTATGAAAACCTACACTTGTGCTTCAAAAGTGACGCTGCTCTCAAAGCGGCATTGGAACCAGGGTGAAGTCAAATTTGGCTACTCTTTCAACCAACAACTGCAAGGAAACCCTGACTACCGGATTTACTCAAATGTAGACCCGCGTTTTGGTTTTTTTTCTCTTCCTGGACGCAGTGCTTTTCAAATTGGGGATCAACCTATGGTCAAGTTCGAAGAAGGCAGACATGTAACAGGTCAGAACATAATTTTTGAGCCTATCGTGCTAACCCATGTCGGCCGCTGCTTCTAGGACTCCGATGCAAAACGGTGAGGCTCGACGCGGGCACGCTGGTGAAAGGCAGCACAGAGCCATGCGGCACACACGATAATCAAGTGATCTCATCAGAAGTAGAAGATTCTGGTTCTGTCTTATAAATGTAATTGCCATCCTACCACTACTATGCAATGTTTTCTCGCAACTTTTAGCTCCAGACGTCGCGTAAAAATTTAGACGATGTCGGCGCTCAACCGGCCAGCGTGGTTCACGAGCAATATCATGCTTCGTTTCATCTTAATTCAAAGTGCAGTCAATGCTACGAGCCAATGGGACCCACCAAACGGTGTACATTCTCTTATGCGTTCCTCCACCGACTGAATCGATTGCAGCGGCGGATGTCCCGTGACTTGCACTTTTATAATGTGCGTGTTCGTGGTTGCATGTGTCTGAACCTTTGACCGTGCTCTAAACTAAATGAAACAAACTATACAGTTAGTCGATACTCGGTGAAACACATATTTGCACCATTTTCCTTTCTACCTGCTTCTCCAATTGTTAGGGCGGACCAACAATTAATTTTATTTCTTGCTCCACTTAAACTCATCTCGGCACAGGTGTGGCGCAATTCTTGGCAAAAATGGCACTTTGGCACGAGGTGTAGTGGGCTGTCGTTCGTGGCACAATTTGGCGCAAATGTTGTGGCACTTTCAACACTACTACATTCCCATCAATAGGTCTGTGGATTCTATCTGTAAAATAAAAAAAACAGATGGGGTAAAAGAAGAAACAAGAGAATAGAAAAACCAACCAGGTGTAACCAGCGAGTGGGCGAAAGAAGCGACGAAGAACGAAGCTGGAAAGGCGGTAAAGCCGGCGATCGTGTTGGCAAATACTCTGCCGTCGGGTGGACCATCCAACCACACAATGCCGGCTCTTGCATAACTTTCTTGTTTGGTGCATATGTGCGTGCGTCCGGAGACATCTAGAAAGTCTTGCCCAGGCGTCCCCAGTTCTTCGAAATCACTATTTTTAGAGGGTGCGCAATATATCAGGATTTTCTTTGATGTAGATATTTTGACATAAAAGGGGAGCCGGTCACATATGTAATGAGACATATACCTCATGTTTTGACTGTGTCATGACCACCAATAAATCAAATATGCAGGTGCACGAACGTAGCAAACTTGCCAAGAAAAATGTTTATGGACAGTACACAAATTGCAATCAAATTTCACAAAAAACGCTTCTTAAAAAAAAAAAAAAAAAAGAAACAGCTTGGAATAAAATTATTAGAAACCAAGCGTGTTGGTAAGGTTCATATACGCACGAAAGAATATGCACATAGGACGGAACACAGAGCACATCTCTCAACTGGCAACAAACAAGAATGAAAAAGAACCAGCCCCCAAAAGGCATCAACAAATTGTTGATGCCTTTTGAGGACTGATTCTTTTTCATTCTAGTTTGCTGCCAGTTGAAAGATGTGCTCTGTGGTCCATCCTATGCGTTTATTATTTCCCATGTATATGGAATACAATACATTGACACCTATGGAACTGGCACGGGCAAAGTTAAGCAAAATACCCCCTTACGGACAATGCAACCCAGAGACTTTCGGAACTGTGCCTGCATCGCGAACGAGATCGCAATTTCATTTGCCCGTGAAATACAAACGGGACAAGAACATAATCTCAAGGCGCCTTTGTTGCAAATAGAAACATGCAACAAAAAGGCAACAATAGATCCCCAAGCACCAAGTACAAATGGCAGAGTAGGCACAAACGTACACACAACATGCAAGTGTGTTACATACACCTTTTCCACATGGGTGCAGCCATCTTGAATGTCGTCATTTGTGGTATGCGTTAAAAGATTGTTTGGATCTCCACCCCGCTGAAAGGTGTCCACGAAAAATACACGATTGTCACACATTCTTGTTTCGCCTCATCTATATTTTCTTCCATTTCCAGGTTGAAATCTTTTTTTCTTTTTTTCGTCCCGCATACCAGATACAGAACCCATGTGACCAAGAACAGAAGGAAATAGAAAACGTCTGTATGCAGCTCTAGCTGTCCCCCAGCTAGCATTTCCTCCCAAACACGAAAACCACAAATGGCCAGAGCCTTCTCCATAAAGTTTGTTACCATTGTCCAGAACTAAAGACAGTTTTGCTCTCACCACCCTCTGCCCCCCCCCCCCCCCCCCCCTATAGAATATCATCCCGCCGGAATAACCTTTCTTTATTCTTTATTCAGGGAACTCCTGCAGCGCCTAGAAGGCATTATTGCAGGGGGCGAATAATAACGAAAAGAACATATCAACATTTGCAGCACAAACTATACATTCCTGTAAAGCGTTCCAGTCCTTGACCGTCCTCACAAAAAACGAATTTTTGCAGAGCTCCGTCCTAATACAGTATTCGCGTATCTTGTGCACATGATCATTACGTTTGGAAAAATAATTTGGTTTTAAGAGGTGATTGAGAGGTGTGTGATTAAACAAATTTCCGGCAAAACTAACACGTTCAACTAATCATTCCTTCCATATGTCATCCTCCATCGTTAGCACCACTGATGCAACAGTGTTTTACGATCTCTTACTAGCCCATTATGCATAACTTTTCCTGTTCTTATTTTTTGTGTGTTCTATTGTTTTATAGTTGTGTCTGCTATTTTATTCATTGTTATACTGCCCCCCTCCCCCTTATGTAATGCCCTAACCAGGTCTTATTGCGTCTGCTATTTTATTTATCGCAATACTGCCCCCCCCCCCCCTTATGTAATGTCCCAACTGGGCCTTTAAGGTTGAAATAAATTAAATAAAATGAAACACACAGCATGGCATGCACATTTCGCCCTGTAGTGACCAGTAGAAGATTAAGCTTTAAGAGTCGAAGCACCTGTCATTAGATTGTTTTTTTTTTTTGTTTTTTTTTTTATTGTGTATATGTGAGACTTTATAAAGAAAAATTTAGTTTTGCTGCCTGCAATAGTGCTGCACGTTAACTCGCGGAAACGAGGACAGCGTTCGGAAAGTTTTGGCTCCCACGCCGTGTCAATGTCCTCTTCGCTTTAGTACGCACAAAAACAAAACCTCAGCAAGTGCCAGCCGAAATTATTCCGAGAAACCGACTTCGCTACACCTCATATCTCGGTACATACCTTACCTACAATTCATAAACCGAGCTACCCAAAAGCTCCGTCCACAAACATCCGAAAACAGCGCATTGAAAAGCTAGCTGCGAGCAAGAAAACAAAAAACAAGACGCTCGATTTTTTTTTTTCTTTATTCGGAACGTGTTTTTTTAATTATAGTTAGATGTGTGTCATAACAAGGACAACACAAGTCCTTCCTCCGCTGCGACATCGCCAGTAACACAGGAACGAACCGAGAAACCAAATAAAGAAAATAAAAAGGACGTACCCACAATCGGGCCTCTCGAAAGCATACGTTCGAAAAACACAAATCGCCTCTGCAGACTTCACAGGCAGTGTCAGTGCAACCCTTCGAGAAACGCTAGTCATAGGAAGCGTGCGGATGATCTGGTCCACTGACTCGGCGATAATCACGCTAAACTAGACGAGAAAATGCAAAAGACCACGGCACGCGTATTGTTTACCTTGTCTTTGGCCGTCTGCAGCCAAGTGTTCCACCAAGGTGTAGTCGCTTCGTCAGAGCTGCGGCGAGAAATGCATTCCAGGTTACAGCGCACGCGGCACGAAGACGAAGTATGACGAGCGTCGCTCGCCGCGACGTCGTTTTGTTTTGGGGTCGTGACAAGAGAGGAAAAGGGATTTTAAAACGCTGCGATTTCAATCGGGGGTACTTACGTGCCCTCAGCCATCTTTACATCTTTACGCGAATCGAGGCGAGGGTTGCCACCTGGCAAGTTACGGGATCCGCCGAGAAGCCCTGCGCCCTCCTGTTCGACAAGATTCATAAAAAAAAAAACCGCTAATATTTGTTATAAAACTATAATAAAAGGAGAACTCTTGCAGACTAAAAACTTTTGAGCGTGGTTTTAAAAAATGGAGCTCAAAAATCAAACCTAACAAAGCGTTAGTTTCGTTTTTGGGCTTTGTGTACCGCTTCTAACGGCTAGCAGACGACAACCCTTCGACCGGCGTTTTTACTTTTCCGGAAAACTAATTGCATAACTCTACTGCTTGTCCTTGTGGCGTGTAACGTCGTACGATCAGTCAGTTTAGTTTTATAGTACAGTATTAAATATCAAAATGGGTGTTGACAAAAATGTTGTTACAACGAGGCTAACCATATAATATCGTTAGCCTCCAGTAAAAAAAAAAAAAAAAAATTAATTGACAACAGATCATTTTTTATTCACAAATATATTTGTTGTTTCTTTATCGACAACCCCAGCTTGTTTTTCAAAACCTTCCTGTCCCAACGACATAAAATCCTATGCCCAAAATCATGTGTTTAATCTGAGCTTTGCACTCTAACAGGCTTCTCTGTGGTAGGGAAGGGGAAAGGGGACAAAAAGACGATCAACAAAGGGTCAATGATGATGAGATGAAATGTTAAAATATTTACAGCCGAATTTGTTTGAATAAAGCAATGTTTGAATCAACGGGAGTTTCCTCCCACAGACACACATAGGATGCATGGGATCTGCATATGTTAGTTTGAATTATCCACAAGTTTGAATTAAGAGAGTTTGAATTAACGAGATCTGACTGTACATGCTATAGTGTCTAGAGAAAGGTGGGAAAAATAATTATAGCACTGTCAGCAATTGGTCAATGTCCTCGAGGAATTGAAAGACTCGATGTTTCTTATCGGGCCAAGGTCCGAAGAGTTTTGGCAGATCAAACAGTCCAGAGCATTCGTAGAGTTTTTGTAAGTTTAGCGTTTATTTTCATATGCTTGAAACGTGAGTAAAATGTGTCTGATGGTTTCCAGCGCACCGCATTTTTCACAATCCGGAGTTGTGCATTGTTTTATTTTAAAGTGATAGTTCTTTGTGTACACACAGTTGAGACGAAGTCTATGTATAAAAGTTTCTAAATTTCGTGGTACCTCGCTTGGTAGTCGTGTAGTCGTGTTGATAATAAAGGATCTACGTCATAGAGAAATCTGTAGTTAGAATCCATTGAGGATCAAAGCATCTCACATGCACTTTTTGCAATTTGTCTTGTCGGAGATGTACAATCACCTGGGAAGAAATAGAATACAAGTAATAGTATACATTGATTTCTTTCCAATAGGACTGAGCGACCGTAAAGCGCATTTTGAATCTGTAAATAAGGTCCATTGTTGTGGTGGTTGTTGGCATATATACTTGATTGCTTCCTTAATTCCGTGGAGCTCAGCGGCTGTTGATGATGGTTTATAGACGACAAGATCTGGCAAGAACTCGCGATGGAACGAAGAATGTTGACAATGAGGTCATTGTCATTCGTGAGCCATCGGTATATAGATGTGCGTTGTTTTAGAGTAACTCACAAGTTGTACCATAACTAACATTCTCTGTTGGCGTTTTGAATATACATTTTTCGAAGCGTCCCTGGAGGTATTTTGAAGTATTCAGTAAAAGTTGCCTGCTTCGGAATATTGTGAATATTTCGATCTAAAGCATCCCCATAGCTGGAGTTTAGGCGTTTTATGCGTATTTTAGAAAGATAGTGATTGTTCTGCTGAGTTTTATGGCATACATAAATGAATTCATACTATTTTTTTGTTTCTGTAATACTTCCAAAGGAAGGTGTCTGGCTTCTGCTACCGTGCCAGGTCCAGATGAACCTTGTAGACCAAGGGAGGGAGCTGTCGTTTACTCGTCAGGCTTATATTAGTTAGGTGTGGAATCGAGTATCTTAATATTATTATTTAAATATACTGTTAACCCCTCTTGGGGTCATTACAGGAGAGTCCCAGATCTGCTGAAGAGAATCAACCAGAGATTTCTACAGTAGAATCATTGACCTGCTGTTACATCCCCAAGCTGTTCCTGCGATACAGCGTAGAGCATTGGTTGCACCTGCGATTCGTTTTTTTAGAGAATTAACTTCTTCCGTCCACGAGAAATTTCAATGAACGTTGATCCCTAAAAATTTATGTACTGTGACGTAAGGAACCGTATGTCCACCTAAATAGATTGGATACTTTTTCATAGATTTCTTCGTAAAGGCCATGGCAACTGTTTTCTTGGGAGGTTTCTGTAGGCCTTTGGAACCTAGAAAACTCGCCATTATATGGAGAGCATATTGCAACCGTAGCTTTACAGTTAGTCTAAGTGGGAAGTAGACCACACGCAGATGTCAGATCTGCATATATGCTAATATATTAACTTCTCGGAGAAGTTGCTTTTTTAATTTTATCAGTGTGATGTTGAATAGAGTTGGACTTAGTATTGCACCCTGAGGTACCCCTTGAGAACATCAATAGTTGGAATTTCCTTCTGAAGTACCAATGTAAATTTTTCTGCAATTAAGATAATTGTATACCCATTTATAAATGCATCCTCCAAGTCCCAGATCTGATTGAGAGAATCAAATGCTGTTGTAATATCTAAGAACAGGACAGTGGCCGTGTGACCTTTGGCTCTATCTTCTTCGACACTCGTTGTAAGATCAATAACGCTCGGAAAAACATGTTTTGTTCTAAAAACCATGAAATTCTAAGTACCATTTTTTTCTATTAGCTTTCCTATTCAACTCAAAAGTGCAATTGGTCGGAAAGATTCGAGACAAGTGGGCAGCTTCAAAATTGGCACAATCTATGCAATTTTCCACTTTCGTGGTAAGGCTCCTTTGATCCAGGAATTGTTGTAGTGTGCAAGGAGTCCGAGCTTGGAATGTTGGGATAGGTGTGCTATGGCGTTATTCATAATGCCATCACTACCTGGTGTTGAATTAGTTTCACCTTGAATTGCTGCAAATTTAGCTCTTTAATAGCGAAAGACAAATTTAGACTCGTTTGTTGCAGCAGGTATGGTATGTCAATACACTTGCTGCAATGTACGGCAGACGAGGCATGGTAGGTTGTGAATAGGGTTTATTTCAGGCGCACAACAGAATGAAGATTATCAAGATGATAACTACAGCGACGAACGATTACAACGTGTCGTCGTGCGTCGCTTCCCTCCGATGATGCAGCATTCCTTCCCTTGTAGAGGAAATAATGCACTACAGTTTTTCTTGTACTGGTAGATCCGCGCAAGTCTTGCGGCTGCGTGACGGTTGGGGTTGATAAACGTTGGGCCCTTGGCCGCATCTTAGCAAACAGCGGATGGAGCTTCTTGCATACTCCTAGGTGCGGGGCGCTGGTGGTTCCCGAGGACAGACCTGGTCCGCGTGACGTTGTACCCAAGCAGCACAAATGTCATATGAAAGTCCACAGAACATTGCTGGAATGTTAGGACATCCTGAGGACATTCACAGAGCTAAGTGTAATACTAAGGTACTTCCCGCAGCGGCCACCGACACCATTCCTGCCCCAGTCGTTGTAGTTGCGGTTCGTGGTGACCACCTTTCCCCCTTCTCCACAGTTCCATGTCCAAACAGCATTCTCCAGCACAGAGCTTACATCCGGGTTCCTTCAAAGGCGTGGATGAAGTGAGAGCTGCAGGAGTCCAGGCGAGATCTAATTTTCCAGAAGACTGTGTGATGGCCAAGTGCCGGCTGGTAGGAGCGTTCTACGGCATGCAATTATTAATTTTGCCAGACGTGTCTAAGCCCCCTTGCTTTACTTTTCTGAGGCTGTCCTCAATCGTTCCAAAAGTTCTCTCCGCTAGGCCGCCAGACTGTGGGAGGTAGGGTACAGTGCGCAGGTGTTCTATGTTATTCTCCGAGAGGAACAGAGAGAATGATTCTGCAGTAAATTGGGCATCACTGTCTGTCATGACGGTACTGGGAATTCCGAGATGGCTTGACATTTCACACACAGCAGATATTGTGGAATCTACGGCGAAATATCTCATGGCAACAGTTCTATTCATTCAGAACGAGAGTCCACAGCAACCAATATCGTGGCTTCACCTATCGGCCCGTAAAGTCTAGGTAGACCCATGACCATTTTTTGCTAGTTGCCGGCCACTTTACAGGAGCGTTGGCAGAAGGCATTGACTAGGGCCAGGATGCACGAATTACAATGACGGTAAAGCCGTTCGATCTCACCATTAAGGCTTGGCCATTGGAATAGGGTCTGCGTAACCACCTTCATTGCCGAGGAATCAGTCCTTGGGCTGCCTGTGGCATGACAACTCAATATGTCCCAACAGATCATCGTCTACTATAGTTGCTTTGGCCACACCTGCAACCTGCAATACATAAACAGCAATGGTCCTCCGACGTCAATGCCTGCAGTCTCTGAACCGAAAGGCAGTCTTCTCTTCTCGAGTTGGTTTAGCGAGAGCATATTTGGATAACTCTTCGGCTTCTTTATCGGGAATGTTTCCTAGAAAGCAACTAAAGAGGAGAACATGTGAGCAATGAAAACGGGCATTGTGCGGCAATTCCCGTAGCCACCTGTGCTGGCGTCCCTACGTCACTGCGAGGTTCTCCTTGAGGCACTGCGGCGCACGGATATGGTCTGTCCAGAAAATGCAGCGCGGTGGACCTATAGTGGCGAGGGCCGTGCAGTGCTCAGTTTCACCGCCCGGCTTGTACTCCGTCTTGTACTGACATGTGCCTAACAGCAAAGCCCAACGTTCAGTTTTGGCTGCTGCCATCACAGGTGTTAGATGATCTTTTCTCAGCAATCCTACAAATGGTTAGTGATCAGTAGGAGCGTGAGCGGTCATCCCAACAAATGGTCTCTGAACTTTTTGCCACTCCGAAGACCGGGGGCTAATACTTTCTGCTCTAGTTACGAATGATTTCTTTCTGCTTTAGAAGGAGTGCAAGGCCCGAGTTGTATTAGTCTACGCTTTCAAGGCAGTGAGACTGCACCGCCCCAATACTACGAGGCGATGCGTCGCAACCTAGGTGCTACACTCTAGACGGGTCAAAATGTGCGTGTACGTCTGCTTTGCAAGGTACCTGCTTAGCCCTCCTGAGCGCATGCTTAAGGGACAGATGCGAAGAAAACAATCATTGTTTTTAAACAGCCAGGTTGGGAAAAGGAAGTCTTAAACGAATTTACAACGAAAAAGACAAATTGTTAGAGCTATATTTACGACGCTATACGAATTTGTAATTTGCGCCACGAGCGCCGCAGAAAAGTGGCCGCTATTTATCACGTGACTGGCCGCTATTTGCCATGTGGTGCTTGCGCTCTTTTGGAAGTTTCCTATGGTCTCGAAAAGTTACTTATTCATCTTCGTTTGAAGTGTAACAAAAAACGAAGATTGATAAGTAACTTTTAGAGCCCAAAGGAAGCTCCTAAAAAAGGGCAAGCAGATGTGATAAACCTGTCCGCCGGTCAGATGACGGCGGCGGCGCCCCGGAGCAGACAAACTTGCGTAGTGGCGGCGGCATGGAGAAACGCGTTGAACCGGCGGCGCAACATGCTCTGCGTGCGGCAGCGGCGCCGCACGACGGTGAACAGGTCTACCACGTGATCCGCGGCGGCTCCGACAATTTCGTTTTGCACTGTAAATATAGCTAAAATTTTTTTCTTCGTTGTAAATTTGTTTTATAATATTCTTTTTCCATCTAGGCTGTTTAAAAAAAATGTTTTTTTCCTTTGCATGTGTCCTTTAAGTTGATAGGACCCTTGCTTCCATTATGGCCGTCAGGTTCTTTTCGGTAGGAAGAAGGCAATCATCGTTGATGTGATGCCAGAGATAGAGGACCTCCTCCTGCCAGAAGTTGCATTTCCCTCTGGGCAGATCAACTCCACTCTCCTGGAAACACCGGAACGTCTGCTCGAGACGGTTTCCACTGTTAAACTCTTTCTCAGACAATAATGTCAAGGAGCAGTATTTTTATCTTGTGCTGGAAGATAGCGGGAGCGGATAAGATGCCAAATGGAAGCCGGTTGTAACCAAAACAAGGCACAATGGGTGTTGATTACCGTCAACTTCTTGGACTCTTTGTTCTGCGGCACTCAATCGTACGCATCCCGAAGGTCTAATACATCTCACCCTTGTCCAGTGACGCAAACAGGTCATCGATTTCTAGCAGTTGATACCATTCAGTCCTGCAGGCCAAGTTTACCGCCAGCTTAAAATCTCTGCAAATTACGACGGACACATTCTTTTTCGGCGAACAGGCAATGGGCTACGCCCATTCAGCGTGGGAGACCGGCAAGATAATCCTTTTAAAGCAGCCCGTCCAATTAGATTAACCCCTTGTCAAGCACCGTGCAAGGCAGGGACCTGGCCTCGAAAAACTTGAGTATAGTACCTTCCTTCGCACGAAGGTGCACTAAAGGCCCTTGGAACGACCCGAGCCTGTCACCGAGACACTCCTTGTGCTTGGAGAGCAGTTTCTATAGCTCTTCGATGGAAAGGCCCCTTCCATCGTCAAACTGAGGCACCTGGTAAGCCATGCTTGCGCAACAGAAGAGCGTCACTACACATGTCAACTCACTCACGTCGCCACTGCTACGACGTACTACAGGCGAGGCATGGTAGGTTGTGAACAAGGTTTATTATGAGCCACACGTGAATATAGGTTCCACCAAGTACAGAATAGAAGGATGATGATAAGGGTGATAATCACAGTGACAAATGATTACAAAGTGTCGCCTTGCGTTGCCCGCTTGCAATGATGCAGCGACACCCGTTCTCTTGACAAACATATTTCTGTTCATTTTGAGCCGGGACTATAGTCACATACTACATAAAGACAGTGCGAGGGGAAAAGGGCACGCATGAGAAAAGCCATGGTGGAAAGGAGATTGCTCCTCTCCACTTGTTTTCCTAGTTTCCACCCTTTTCCCCCTTGCATTGTCTGTCTTATGTTGTATCTGATTACAGCTTGATTTCAAAACTTTCCAGTCCAAGTGACAAAAAAATCACGGGCGCATAAAATATAAAATTTATTTACAGCATCATAAAACTGCAGTTTAAAACGGAATAAAACCGAGGAGTGCTAAAACAACTGAATAGCACAGTCAAACAACATTGGTGCTATGGTGGGCTAAAAGGGGGGGGGGGGGGGGGGAATTGATGATGGGGGGAGGCGAAAGAAGTGCTATAATTCAAGCCTCCAAAGTGAAACATAATCTCTATGTGGGAAGCAGTGCCACTTTGAACAGCTTCCCACAGATATTATAAACACCTAGAGTTGTGCTTTATAAGTGACACTGCACTCAAGCACAGTTCAAACCAAAAAGGAGTGTTCGCTGCCCTTTCGATTGACTGCTAGGCAGGTATGACGTCGTCGAAACGAACGTCCAGTATGACGTCGTCGAAACGAACGTCACTCATCGGTCCTTTTGACCACCACATATTCAAAGCTGTCGAGGGCGGGTTCGAGGAAGCAACCCACGCGGGTGAGGCATCCGAGCATGTAGAGTCTGCGCATGCTTTCCAGCACGTTGCCTCCGGTCACCCGCAGCCTCGCTCCGTCGCCCCCTTCTTCCACGACCTCGAAGCGATCCACTGGGTACCTCGTAGCCCCCTCGAAGATGACCGCCGCTTCTAGCTCCCGGTCGGCGGTCTCCTGAGACTTGATGTCAATGACTCCGGGCTCCGCCGTGCCGTCCTTGAGGCTGCCGTCTTCCTCGAAGGCGGACTCGCGGAGGAACAGCGGGGCTTCCGGCCCACCGTGGGTTTTCTGCAGAAGCATGGCCAATCTTCGTTAGCGGACGGTTCGTTTTAGGGGCGAACAATACGGACAGCAAACCCACCGACAGGCGTCTCTTTGTGCGTGGAAGAGCAAGCGATCGTGTGTGCGACGAATGCGACGAAGCTCCACCCTGCTCGCCGCCTCTTCGACGGTGGTGAGCAGACGACCATACCGCAATTTCCTCGTTCTTTCGAGAGCGTCTGGTAACTGTTCGTCAACACGAAACAACAAACCCTTCGACATAAAGCCTCCTCTCCCCTTCCTCAATGTCTAAGTCCTTGTTCGTAAAAAAACGCTGGATTTTCGAAAACTGTACAAAGGTTAGGATGCACAGTCATTACTGTTAGGACTAGCGGGTCCTAATAATGGCTGTCCGAGTGCAGACGCCGACGCTACCGTTCCCTCCGAATGAAAAGCAGATGACGCTCTTGGTCTCTCTGATTAGAGGAGAAAAAGGCAGCTAGCCTGTGTCTATCCACTATCCTTTCACTAGCCGTGACCTCGCTCCATCCGCTGCACAAGAAGCAGACAAACTTTCACACCGTATTTCTTTGTGGTCACTAATAGCCCCTTCCCCTAGCAAATAACGAGCGCTCGCAGATGCGGAACTTCAAGCATTCGGTCTCGGCAATCGAGTATCAGTGCAACAACTCTCAGGTGGGGTGCATAATGCAGCAGACGGCAGAGCCGCTGCACTCGCTCAAAGAGTCGCGCATTTTCTGGCAGTCCCATTGTGCAGCTGCCACCGCTGCTCCTACAATTCTGCCTACTTCTTGCATGGCAGGTAGAGTGACATCACGGTGGCAACCTCCGAGTGGAAGGATAGCAAGATGACACAAAGGCTAGATGCCTTGGTCTTCTCTAGCCACTGTATCCTCCAATCGGAGCGAGCAAGAGCGTCGCCTACTCCTCGTGCAGAGGTAGCAGTGCGTCAAGGTCGGCGTTCGGGCGCTGAACGCCGGCATCGTCTGCTAGTCCTAGCCACGGCTGTTCTATCCATCCCGTGGCTTTTAGAAATCCTACGATTCTTTACAAACAAGGACTTGGCCTTCAAAGAGGGAAGAGGAAATACCACCAATGGTATATTGTTTTTTGTCGATGCTCTAAAGAGCGAGGAAATCGCAGCCCAGATGTCGCCTGCTCCCCACCGCCGCCGAAGAGCAAACAACAGCTGCGGGGGCGGAGCTTGGTCATGTTCATCGCACACGTGATCACATGCTCTCCCATGTACGAAGGGGCACCTTTCGGTGTGCACGCTGTTTGTATAGACCTATTTATTAAAGCGCAAAAAGGAGGCACTGCTTTACTTTTTCGTCCCCGTGAACCTCCGGTTAGATGAGAGGATAAACAATCCCCACCACGGCATTACTTCTTGCAACATTCATGAAATATTTGGTGATTAGTTCTCCAGGTGGTTAGCTGAAGGATCGGTTAGCGAGATATTGGTTGGGGATTGTTTAATACTCCCGTAAGATGATCGATTCCCTCTGGTATCCTGAATAACACAGCAGAAGGACCTTGCCAAATCCCCGACTTTGTGATATCTGGAGAACTTCATTGTCTCAGGAATTGTGATGTCAACAGGCTCGGGAGGCGGCTGCTGAAATGGAGTGACCGGAAGTCTCTTGGGAAACAAGAGACGGCTTGTGTTTGTAAAGCAGAGAATGGGTCTATTGGGAAAATGAGAAAATGGGTTGGAGAAAATGGGCCCCAACGTTTTTAAGTGGCACAAACAAAATGCCACAAGTGAAGCCATTGCAATTTTTTCTCAAAACTAGGCACGCCACCGAGCTTTGGTGATCGCAGCTTGACTGCATTTTGCAGATGATGCAAAGTGCAGTTACGCGCACCACAAGAACCAAGCCTGCCCCGAAGGCAAGAAATGCAAGCAGTTCGGTAAACTCGACCACTTTGCAAGCGTCTGCCGGTCAAAGCCAAACAAAAGAGGCGCCGGACAGACGAAGACCCAAAAAGTTGACAGCCCGGAATGCGAAGAAAGCTACTTTCTGCATGCTGTCTCATCAAGCCACAGGCAAGAAGGTGGAGTTTGGAAAGCCAAGATTGACGTTGAAGACAAGCCAGTGGTCTGCAGCTCGGATAAAAACAAACTGTTCTGCGATTACACTCGAGCAACTAAAGACAGCAACACGGAGGAGTTGAAACCAACCAATGCACTAGTGAACACACTTTTCGGTCAGAAAGAAGACTGGAAGGTGATTGTGAGTGTCCGGCAAACACGGAGCTGCTCGGGCACGGTTTTTCGTTGTGCATGAATGCGACGCAGTTTGGGCTGGCTTGACTACACCTTGTGATTTGTGGTGCAGTTTCATGTGGTACACCGCCGCACGTAGCTCACCTAGGCCCTTGGAAGTCTTTTCGAACGGTCGTGCCGCACAGTAGGGTTGGCCCTCTTCGGCCACTGTGGCTACGGGTTGGATGAGGCTTAGTTCCTGGGACAGGTCACCACTGAGGGTTGCTTGCACAGTATCTACATGACAAGGTCAGGGCTGAAGTCAACCAGATGGAAGAAAAGCTATAGTGATGAACCCTATTACCGAACCGATTGAATGGGCCAATCAGGTGGTCGGTATGGTCGAGGAAGAGAAGACAAGAATGTGCTTGGATCCTGTCGACCTCGACAAAATAGCTCGAGAGAAAGCACTACCGCGTGCTGGCACTGGAGGACATTGTGATAAACGTCGACGGTGCCGAGCACTTCTTTACATTAGACGCTGCTGCAGAACTTCGGCAGATTCAGCTTGACAAGCCCAGCTTGTACTTGTACACGATAAGCACGCATTACGGAAGACAGTTTTTAATGCGAAAGCATGAGCCGTCTCATGGAGCGAACTGACGTCATCAGCTTTGAAGCCACGCCAAACAGCACCTTCCCCTGTCCCAATGTCGTCTGTAGCAGAAATATGATGGATAGGCTCCCACTGGCTGGCACATGTCATCAAGGAAGGAGGCCTCGTGTGGCGTAGTTCCAAAAAAGGCCACCAGAGAAGCCCTCTCCATGGCGGCGCAGCGCACGCAGCGACCCGGCCACCGCCGGTGGCGGTCGAACCCGTTCGGGCAAGCTCCAGAACGGGTGTATGGCCAAGCGCGGCGCGGCCACTTCACGAGAGCGCGCGCTTAACCGTCAGCAGGCGAAACGTGGCTGTCCGTGCCACTATGCCGCAGATGAACTAAGGAAGCGGAAGAACGACATTCATGCTTTTGCATTCACAACTCATAAGAAGTGCTTAGGTGTTTTCGAACTTTTTTTCGGAAAGCAATGCACCAGGTGCTCTAAGGTCTCGACAACATACAATCAAGTCCGGTAGCAGTGAATTCAACAGGAATTGGATACCACTTCGTTATACACGTTTCTTCATTATACCTGCAGGGGTGGGACAAACCAGACGGGTTTGGGAGCAGTTTTTGGAGCAGAAAAATCTGCATTTTGGTGCAGCTTAGGAACAGAAAGCCTACATTTTGGAGCAACTTCAAAGAAAAACAAAAACCTGCCCTTTAAAGCACTAAAGTACCAAAAAAAAATATTTTGGAGCACTTTAGGAGTAACTGTGACATCATTTTAAGAAATCAACGTAGCCAGTAATTGTACCATGTGTTACAATGCAAGCGAACCAGGTTTGTACTACAGGTGTTGGAAAGTATTGAATACGGAGAGCAAGTCTTACAAAAAGTGCATCGGAACGCAGGGAGGGGCACACCAATCAAAGGACAACAAAAAAAACGCACAGGGAATGCGCGATGACGAGGCAGAGAGATGACGAGGCTTCGGACCTCAACCTGAATGGTTGAGGTCCGAAGGAAACAAAAGCATGTGTGCGCATCTAGAAGGTAAACGCAAAGAGCAGACAGACTTGCACGCCACATGGAACTTTACTGTGAAATATCTGAAATCGTACACAGAAAGATGTCTACATACAGAAACAAATTTCGACTGAAAATGAAGGGGCACGACTAGGCAAAGTGATCGTTACATGCTAGGTGGCATCATTTCATACATTGCACATGTGAGATGAGTGATACATCGAATTCATCGGATAGATGGATGGACAGATATGGCTGAACCAAGGAATTGCCATTGCCATTGCCAGGCCACGGCTTGGGCCACCTGGCAATGGAATACAGTGAAATCCATTTAGAACGAACCGACGTACAGCGAATTATTGTCGATATCGAACTCACAGAAAATGTAAATAAAAATGCATGTAAAAATTACTTCTTATAACAAACAACATACTGGCTATATCGAACTTTTTCCCCTGGGAAGGCATCCAAAGACGCACAAACAATCGTCTTCTAGCCTGTCCCTTCCCTCTTCCCCCCCCCAATAAAAAAAAAAGAAAAGTAGGAAAGAAAGAAAATGACAAAAGCTCTAGCTGTGAACAAAATTGTGCGAAGAGAAGCGATTCATAAGGGGAGAAAGCTAAAAAGCACTGCACTCGCGGAGAGAGAGAGAAAAAAAAAAGAAAAGCTTTTCATCCCAAAGCAGTTGCCTACGAAGAGAAGAGACTAAAAAAAACAGATACCGTAAAATACCGAGCATGGGCCCATGTCACATTAAGGGCCCACCCCCTGTTTTTGAACGATTTCAAAAACAAACAGCGGACACATCAACCGCCCACCCCCCATTTTAGGCATATTTAAAAAAAAGAAATATATGCGAAGGACATGGCAAGCGCCCAGTCGCCACGGACAGCCGTTATCTCCTGAAGTTGAAGCGACCGGCACTATACTTCGTTTCAGCTTCGGTCCAGACGCAGCCGATGCTACAAGCGCGAGCATGTGGCCCAGAACAGTACCTGCACTGCACGAGCGCGCGTGCTTGGCAGGGATGCTGAAAGCCCGGAGCTCGCGCTTGTAGCTTTGGCTGCGTCTGGACCGAAGCTGAAACGAAGTATAGTTATGAGTCACGACAGCACAGGCGAAGGGGGCGAAGGGCACCGCGGGAATCGGGCAAAGGGCTCCGGCGCAAC